ATAATGATAAATTCAGTTTTGGCATCGTTTATCATAAGTTTATCTTGTAGCATCCATAGTCGTATATCCCTTACACAGTTTTCCATGGCAGTCACCACTTGCTCTTGGTTATCTGAACTACAAAGTTTAAATGACAAGTGTAATTGGGTGTCGTCGGCATAGCAGTGAGTGTTAGGAAGATGTTGTACTACTATGTCGAATAGTTTAGATGAATAAATACTAAAAAGGAGTGGTCCCAAACATGATCCCTGTGGGACTCCACAATTCAATTTGAACTCATCAGAAAATTCTCCATTAAATAAAACACGTTGACTCCTACCGGTTAGATAAGACTTAAACAGTTTAAAGCTGCACCAGATATCCCAATTTTAGACTTAACCGGCGGTTGAGTAAAATGATCAACGGTATCAAAAGCAGCACTAAGATCAAAGAGTACAAGTTAAGTAACATGTTGATTATTCATCTTCATAAACATATCATTCTTCACTTTCAGAAAGGCAGATTCTTTACTATGATTTTTTTCTGTAGGCTGACTGAAGTAGTAGATACAATGAGTTAACAGTCATATGGTCATGGATTTGTTCAAACACAGCTGTTTCAGTTAACTTTGATATGTATTGGAGATTACTAATAGGCCGAGAATTCTGTAAAGTTGTGGAATCTAAATTGTTTCTTTTCAATATAGGAAGAACAAGGGCTTCCTTCCAATCAGTTGCGAATATGCCTGTTTCTAAAGACAGATTGATGATCCTAGTAATAACAGGCACAAGAACATCCAAACAATCGACAACCAACTGAGTAGGCATAGGGTCCAAAGAACAAGACTTTTTTAGCCTTTATCAATGAGAGCTCGCACATTATGCTCAGTAAGTGGTGAGAATTGGTCAAGTGTTACAAGTGTCTGCCCAGGTGTGTAAATATCATTGTTATCCGGCGCCTTTGAATGACTATTTTTGTCAGATACTGTGCGCCTTACAAATGCTTTGTTATTATTATTATTATCAGGCACAGATTGTAAGTTACAAGAATCAAGCCTTGCATGAATGTCAGTTATCTTTTGCATGAAGAACCGGCCCATGGCATTAGCCAAATAACGGGCATTGTTAGAGTTAGATGTAACAATATTAGCTTGCGGTCTCACCAGCTTATTTACAGCGTTGAAAAGATGTTTAGAATTACAACTGTTCTCCTCAATAAAATTAGTATTAAATTCTTGAGGAGCTTTGTTCATTAGGTAGGTGGTATGGTTTCTGCGTGTCTTATAAGTCTCCAGATCCATAATATTACCAGTATTTAACCATTTCTTCTCTGCCTTTCCACGCAAACTCTTCGCAGTTTTAATGCCGGGATTAAACCAAGGTACAAGTGGTCTAACTGTGACGTTCTTAGTTTGAAGAGGAGCATGACAATTAAAGGCCATTTCAAACATGCGTTGGAACGACGCACACGCGCGCGGTTGCTATATTTTGTCTGTTCAGTGCGTGACATCGCGTAGTTGCAATCGGCTGAATGACAATGTGTGACATTATGTGTTCAGGAAGCTGATTTCGGGCGAAATTCAAAAAATGACTCAACAACTTTTCAATTGAAACCGAGATCCTAGAATATTGTTTACTCAGAATATACAGCATTCACAGAGCTGAAAACTTCATCAGGTAAGTTTTTCAGCATCCGTCTTCAGATTTTGAGCACCTTTGTCGCTTCAAACGAAAAGAATTCACAAATGACAAATGATCTACCCTACCTTAATAACAACTGAATTTTCACTTGACTTACGGCTTACTTAACAGTTCGGCGGGGGGGGGGGGGGGGGTTAGAGACATTGATAATGGCCATTATAGTAGCTCGGGCCAGAGAAACTCAAAACAAGTCATTTGCATGTCTGGGCTTGTCGTTTCAATCATATTCCTATTTTTTTCATAGTACAGTACATGTAATTCCTTTGATTGCTTGATGTTTATTAGTATTTGCATAAATTTGGGGTCAAAGGTGTGGCAGTCCCTGTTGCACACGACCTGTAAAATTGTCCGCGCCAGTATCATTAAACTTGACTTGGCATGTACTTTGCGTTACATAATCACTCTTGGAGAGAGAAGGCGTTAAGAATGTGTCATGAATTTGCAAAATCCTACACCAGATGTTTCCCAAAAATTGGACACCCACATTTATAGAAGGACTCATATGCAAAATGCTATGAATGCCTATCCATTTCATCTAAGTGTATGGGTTGCACTTTTGTATTTGAAAACATAAACGTACACAAACCAACATGTTATTTGTAAACCACATTCACTTCAGTTTATTCTTAATTGTATTTTACATAACAGTCGTAATGCCGTTTAGAGCCTTTTGCAAACAAAATCTTCTCTAATTGCAGTTCGTCGATTGCACGGTAGTGTAATTCGTGCTGGTTTGAGCTCCAATCACCTGCAGAATGACCCAGCGGTAGGACGGGTTGCGTACGCTGACGCTGTAAGCGGAGCGGTGATTGATTTCCTACCGGACCCCTACGTCACTGCACGCTACGTCAGCGTGGATATCCCTAGAAGTGGTGTGGTTAACGGGATACAAACCATACTCAACTTGGTTGAAGTCATGATTGAGGAAGTTACCATGGATACAATCAAGACTGACACACCATCAAGTGATAAAAGTGAGAAACAGGACAATGACCACGCTAAACAAATGTAAACACTTAAAAGTATAAAGGAAGGTTTATATTTGCAATTAGTCATATCAGAGGCATTTGACAAGTTATGACAATATTGACTGCCTGATCAAATCAATAGAATAATCGAAATACAGTGCTTTGTCAGTAGTCAAACTACTTTTCATATATTTTTAACTGGCAATGTCATCTTGTATGATTTTGTACTTTGTTTTGATCTTAGTTGAAACTTTAGACCCATCCTATCTTTACCATATATGTAGCTCTCGGCAAACATTCAATAATGAGGGGTATTTTCTTATAGCAGTATTTCACAGTATATCAGCATTTCTTGTATGTTTTCATCTGGAAATATAAGAAAATTAAGATATGAAATAATACAAACAATGTTCCCCTTTCATATTGTCGTTGTTGGGCATCTGTGGAGAGTTTTCTACTTAATCATACATGTATTATTCCCTGCAGGTAAAAAAAAAGTTGGTTCCGTTGGCAGCTCAGACGCTTGTCATTATGATATTGTTGTTGGGCCTAACGTTGGCAAATATCTTGCCCCAAACGTTGCATAATCATAAGACTGATTCATTAATGAGGTCATTGTCTCTCATTGCACAAAACGAATGGCTTCACTGTATTTCTTTTCCATTAATCTTGAAGCCCTGCAGTTGACTGGTCTCCCAAGCAGCCAGAGCTCCACTCTTGGAAATCTGGATGCTTCGAGAGCTGTGGATGGATCTTCAATGTATGGTTATAGGAGCGGCCACATTAGCAGTACAAGTAAGACAGATCGCCGACTTCCATTTTAATATGACCAAATTAAAATAAAAATTGACACGACAGATTCATTCATTCAGTTTAACTAAAGAACAGTTGAACTAGTCTGAACAGGGACCATTGATGCCCAATATCACTGATAAACTCAATCACAGTTATGAAATTGTATTGATATGGTACACTTTCTCAACAAAGAGATAATTTAATCCTTTGTATCCCTTGGTATTGTATATAGATTTCATTGGAAAGATAATGCGCTGTATGATGCAATCTCTGTGCCATCAACGCTTCTGTCATCATCTACCTGTTCCTTCACATTCATTTGTACGTTAACATCCATAGCGTCACCACTAATTCCACAACTTTGTATTTACCTGGTCTGGCACATCTTTGATGACAGTTTTTACAAACTTTTGTCTAGATCAGGACAACATTTCTTTTTTAAATAGACTTTTAGTTATTGTCCGAAGATATAAAAATAACCTAAAACCAGTATCAATCAAAAGTGTGTATTTTTCGTCACGACCATACTTTATCTGGATCCATTACCTGACTATTTTTCTTGCAGATCTAGACCAGAATCCCTGGTGGAAGATAGATCTGACTTCTGTTCACTGCATTGGGAAAATCGCCATCAGGAATCCAGATCATCTTGCACGTAAGCATCAAGATGAAGCGTGGAAGTGAGTTGTGTGGAACTGAAATCAGTACTGCTAGCCTGAGCTTATATTTGGATGAAATCTTCATTTGATATCATCATCCAAATTAAGGCCCCAATGAACGCTGACGCAAACATTACTCTAAAAATGGGTGTCCGTAAACTAAACAGTCCTATCCAATTAAAACATTTACTCAGGTAAAATTAAATTCTGTACTTTAATTTCTTTTCTTTAATTTCAGACGACGTTAGATTACGTTTGCAAGGTGCTTTTGTCCGTGCTGGCCTGAGTGATGCACATCTTGATAACCCGACGTGTGGTTCTAACGTTACCCTGTATCAAGCCTTAATCAATGATTGGATTGAATTCACCTGTGATCCCTACAGACTCGCTCGATATGTTAGCGTCGATATCGATACTTCTAGTCAAAAGTATCTTTCACTGGCTGAAGTGATGGTATGGCCATGTGATCTCCACCCAGAAGGTAAAGTTTGGCTTAATTATAATGTGTTTAGTTTCCATTTGTCAATATAACATTATCTCTGTCGTGTTCTTATGTCAACATCCATTCACAATCTTTGTGAATATTTTTTTTTTTTGTGATTTGATATTCATCCAGTAGTTAAATACAAATGGTGGGACCTCACCAAAACAACCAATGTCTCCGATGAACCAAAATTTTCCGCGATGAACCTTGTTGGTCCTTTTTTTCTGGTCAAAATGTTTGGCGACACTCATAAAATAAGACTTTATATTAAATATTTCATAATGTTATTAATGTCATACGTTTCTCTGCTTGTATGTTTTGTTTTGTTGCAGCCCTGAACTTAACCGATAAACCCAGTAGTCAAAGCTCCACAAACGGAAGTTTCGTTGCTGGTAGAGCATTGGACAGTCTTCCAATGGAACCTTATTGCAGCCTCACAAGTAAGCCCTCATTTTTTGTTCTTGAGGATCAAACTGCCTTGAAAAAAAATGTCATTTCTGATAGGATATTAAAGGAAAAGAATCTATTTCTGCCAACAAATGAACAATAATCACATGTACTCAAGTTTAGGCTGCATGCAGCTTTGCCAAGTCGATTGCCAGTGTTTTATGATAGTGCCAGGAAAAAAGAGTTTCAAACTGAGGTTTGTGATTTTTTTCTAGTGTTAGATTGTTTTAGTGCATGGATGCCTTTCGACTCAAACCGAGGTACAATAGAGTTTATGGACAATGGTTGGAAACCTTTATGTTTAACCTGAAAAAGGTGGCACATATATATTTGGTTAAGAAACGGTTTCTTTTTGTTTCCAATTTCAAGTGTCAGACACGAATGCCTGGTGGATGGTGGATCTCGAGTCAAGTCAGTGTCTGGGACAAATCAGAGTTTGGAGCTATGCACAGGGTAAGATGATGTTAACTTCTATGCTTTGAAATACATCTGAAGAACTTCAGAATCAGACCAATTAAAAGATCTGTTTCAATACATGTGATCATCAAAATCGTCTGCAATGCAAATATGCTTGCCGGTGCTGAAGACAATATGCTTTTGATGAAAAGTTAATCGTGTACTTTCGAAGTTGGGACCGTTTAAAGTTGTGAGTGGCACAACATTTGGATTACTTCAATGCTGATTTGATTCCAATTGCTCACTACCTATCACTGCATTTACTGGTGCTCAGTTATTTTAAGTTGTTTCCGAAGGCTATATTCATATTGAAATATCTATAAAGAATTTTTTTTCTGTGAACACTTTTAAAAGTGCTAAATTATAACTTCAGATAACATAATCATTGTAATCATATAGGTTCCGATTTCCAGGATGCTGTTGTACGTGCTGGGCTAAGCGATAATTATACCGAGAATGTAGTGTGTGGTCGACAAGTCCAAGCTTCATCCGACTTTGTGGAGTTGACCTGCGATCCGCCCGTACTTGCCCGGTATGTTAGCGTCGATATCCCCGGAATGGCGAGACTCGGACTATGCGAAGTGACAGTAGCTACGTGTGATTTCAAGAAAGAAGGTAAGTTCATTTGAATGAGGAAAACCTGCTGAGACAAAACGAATTTTCTCATTAGGCAATGGTTGGTTTTGTTTGATTGACCAAGATGTTGCATGTCGTGAAAGTGGCATGTTCCATTCAAACTTGGTGGAAAATAGGAAATCATTAAACTAGCTTCCGTTTTTCCAAAGGTCTAAGATTAAGACTAGTTTCGAGCTTCTCTAGTTTCAGCGTGAGAGCACTATCAACGTGCAACAAAAATTGTAAACTTTATCCAAAGTTTCTTTTTGACCAATCACAATGAGTGCCCGACAAAGATCTGCACTTGCATGTTACGTGTCTGGTTGGAACATTCTAGTGTGGCATTGGGGAAATGCATGTTGCCAGAGTACCAGGGGCAAAGCCAGGTTTATCATCCAGGGGGCGAGTAGGGGGGGGGGGTTCCAGGCGCGGTTTTACGGGGGGGGGGGCTAGGCGGGGGCTTTAGCCCCCCCCCCCCCCCAAAGTTTTGTCTAGCCCCCCAAAAATAAATTCTGTAAAAAAAAATTTGCATTAGCAAAAAGAAGGATTGTGATGTACATGCGAACGGTCTCCCCCTAAAGAAATAGTCGTGACAAGGGTGCATTTGTAGTTAATATAGTGTGAATGATTTCAGGGTTTTATTGGCGCTCCCCATTGAAAATAAGGCATGAGGCCCCCCCCCCCCCCCTCCCCACTGATTTTCGGAGGCCTAAGTGTCTGAAGAAATAACCGGTCTACATTTCAGCACGCCTCCCTGAAAAAAATTCTGGATCCACCCTGCTAGCCCCCCTCCCCAAATATTGGTTCTAGAACCGCGCCTGGGGGGGGGGTCGCTGAATGTACTGTGGTAAGGGGTAATTTCATCCATGCTGAAAGGTAGACACAGTTTCTTCACCGGACACTTATTTTTATGGTGTAAATCGAGGACACACATGCGAAGCATCATTGTGTAATTGAGGACAGAAGTCAAATCGAGGACGTCCTCGATTAGAAAACGTGTTCAAACCAATGCCAGCTGTTGCAAAAAAAAGTTGGCATGAACAACAGATCAATGATGAGGAACAATAAGAACTCCTCGATTTACACCATATACAATTATGTATACATTTGTGGGGGGGGGGTGGACAGCATCTTCCTATGTGGGTGCTGCTCAAAGCGGAACTCAGGGTCAATGTTACATACCAGGTGGCGCTTTGTGCTCTTTACGGAACGTTAAAATAAAAAGCCACTCGTGAAATAAAGCACTTTCGTTCAACCTGGTAATCATGGTAATTAACTGATAGGAATGTGCTTTTCTCCGGTTGCCTTTTTTAATGGGCAGGGGTGTGGCCCCCCCCCCCCATCCCCACACCCCCTGTTGGCTTGTATGTAGAGCCCATGATTTTGGATAAGAGACTTAATTATCACATCCAGGGTTGGAGAGATCGGAGATGTTATCATTTAACACTCTAAATAAAGTCATCCAAGATATTATAGGAACTATTCATTATGAAGCTAAGAGGACGAGTTCTAATCTTTTCTTTTACAGTTGACGGTGTGGATTTGACTTTGGTTGTCAACCCCTCTCTACTTGGTCCAACTGGCGACAGCGATTCCGTCATTGCAGTGTACAGAGGTCCAGAGGAGATCTCATCTAATGTCTCATTCGGGCGCCAAGTCTCAACAGGAGGAGCGTCTGGCCTTCCTTCAAGCTCAGGCGAGATTGTAGATTCATCCTTGGGATGTACAGTTAAGTTGCTTAGCTTACCAGAGGAGGGAGGACTTGATAGGACAGGTGTCTTCTACGCAGAGGCGACCAGAAATGGCTTGACCACTAGAATACAGACCATAATACTCCCCAAAGATGGTGAGATTATTAATGTGTCTTGTGAATAGTCAGTATTTATTAGTGCCTGTTCATCGAAAGTCACTTTTTTTTAGCAGAGCATAAAAAAAACTAGTCTAATACCATTATCAGCAGCTCTTCTTTTTTTTTAACATTATTGGCTCTATTAAACTAATGTGGCAATCTGGCCATAATTGTCAAATTTGTAGAAATTTGATACCAGATCTGCCTAATTTGGGAGAAATAAAGTGGTATATATTACTCTTACGTTAGTTAACAGACATCTTTTATTTAATTTCAGGAGTTCATATACGTCCTGTTGTGCGAACCAAAACAGCAAGTATCGGAGACTCTGTAGTAATGGAAATGCAGAAAGCCTTGAGCTCACCGAGCGAAGACTACAGATGGAGGCGTAATGGAGGCGATGTCATCGAAACTTGGAATAACCTTCTGAGTGTATCGATTCCGAATGTCACTAAGGAGGATGAAGGAGTATACAGCTGCTTCATTGTGGATCAAGAAGTTGAACAACTGCATGGAATCATGAGGCTCATAGTTAGAGGTTTGCCAGCGATTTTACCATTATTATACCTGTGCTTGAATGAACGATTTTGGGCTTGTTTGTTCAGTATTTATTTACAAGTCAATCAACAAACATTCAAAGTGTGAAAGGCTTTCATTTTCTTCAATACTAGATTGTCCTTCCGGACGTTGGGGCCCACCATCATGTCTGGAAACCTGTCGTCGATGCTACAATGGCGGTTTATGTGATGACGAGTCTGGTACCTGTATCTGTGCTCCAGGGTTCAGTGGAGACAATTGCGAGGAAGGTAAAGAGTTGTCAGTCATTTAATTTGTTAAAACTCAGTTGAGTTGGGACCACTCCCTGAGTAACATAAACAGTGAACAATTGCATACCATTGTGGTAGCCTGTTGAGGGGTTTGAAATATAAGGTCCCTTCAGTTTCTCCTCTTTCTTTCTTTTTTTTTTGATCATCTGTTAGCCCCAAACTGTGAAACAGTTTGGGAAAGATATGGGTTTACCGGAATTGAAATATTATAATAGTGTAGCGCAATGCATTTTATAGAGGGCGCACTTTAGTTCTTTACTGGTAGCCAGCGGGGTGCGCGTGCACTCACCCAGGTTTATGGGGGCACCAGCCAATAGCGTCAGTGTATATAAGCGGCCACGCGCTCAGCCTCGCCCGCTTTCTGCTGTGGCCGGAACCCGTGCGCGGTCTCAGGAAAAGTTGCAATGTTCTAATCTCCCACTATTAACCAATCACCAATCACCTATAGTCACAGTGGAGGGAGCCTCATACTTTGTGTGAGTGTAATTGATAAATGATTCCCGCATCATAATCCAGATAATTATGTAATCTCTGAGTTTGTAAGGGAAGTGATTGAGTATAAGATCACGTAGGCGAGGCGCCTGGGTAGGCGAATAAATAATCTTCCGAAACACATATCTGGTGTCAGGTCCCCATCCTTCCCCAGTCCCCCTAGTTAGTCCGCTTGGGTTGTGTGAGCGAGAGTGCGTGTAAGGGTGATCCTTTGGTAGTCTGCTGCGGGCCTGGCGGTAAATCTCCGCCGAAACGGATCTGCGTACCCGACCGTAGAGGCTAGGCCGTTCGCCGCTACTCGCCGGGGCAGTCGTCCGAGGCAGTACCGCTACAATAGCTAAACAAAAATCGTTTTGGTGTCGTTTTTTGCAGTCCATGGCCGTAATGTCTTTGGTAAGACTGCTGATCAGAGGTGTTCCAATAGCATTGATCCACACCACGAGGCTTGCCGAGGGCATTTGTTCTGTCTTCCTGATCCTTATGGATGCTCGTGTGCTGCAGGTTACATGGGACTTGACTGCATGCAAGGTACGGTAGCTTGGATTGTATCAGTCATTTGTTTACATGGTTCAGTTGTTATCAAAGTATTAAAAATGATGTATGGAGAAGTCTTTTTAAAAATGTGGTTACACCCTTTATGTTTTTCTTCAGAGTGTGCTGAAGGAACATTTGGTGCTGACTGTAAGCAGACATGTCACTGTGCATCGGGAGGAACCTGCAGTAAAGATACAGGAGAATGCAGCAATGGTGAGTGTGTCTGTCAATGGTTCAAATAATGTATGCCAATAGGTGGCGGGCTTACTAGAGGAAAGTAGCGTTTAGCCCAACTGTGCTGACACAGTTGGCCATGCCCCAAGTATGGATAGGACACGGTTTGGCAGTGGACACAGTTTGGAAATAACGGGCTGACGTCATCCGATGAAATCATCTATTCATTTGCACACCAGTTTTAATCAGTTGCTATGTGTTACCATTCAGCACTCCAGACTCAAGAACCATTGAGTTTCGAGCACGTCGGTCGATAAGCAGGTGGAAAAAGAAATCCCAGATGTTCGCGCCCACCTACATTTTTTGTGTTCAATATCTTTGAATTTGGGCGATTCACAATGCAGTGCGCCACCAAATGTTTGCCACGGAGAGTCCATTTTTCAAGTTTACGGTCGACAAAACATGGCCCATTTGAATGAGTGTCGGTAAACAACTTGAGCTAATGTCATAGATTGGGGCATAGCGTTCTGCCGCCTTACAAAAAACACCATATTGATAATAAGAAAAGAAATGGGCAAACAGATCCTCGAATCATACGCTTACGAAACCACTGACAGGAAAATCTAACAATTTCAAATGTCCCGCGCTGGGAATTTGTCGACCATCTCCCACAATGCACTGGGGAAAAATTAACTCTCCGTGGCAAACTCTTGGTGGCGCACTGCATTGTGAATCGCCCGAATTACGTGTGATTTATCCACTGATGTAAAAAACAATTCACGTTTAACGTGTTTGGATCACATTATTGTAATCTGCTCACATTTATTGTTTGATTTCATTTCTTTCTCCAGGTTGTGAGGCACCGAATTTTGGAAGTAATTGCCAGTGCACAAGTAAGAGAGATTTAAAAAGAAAGAAAGTAATCAAGAATAAAATAACACTATGGTGTTTTTTATTTTTTAAATGCTGCAGAGAACATCCTCACTAATACAAAATCCTCAGACTGTTGAAGAATTTTCAAATGTTTCGGTTTTGCATTTTATGCAAGGAGATAATTATTTGAATTATTTTTCTTCTTGTTCCCAATGATGCGTTTTACCTTTCGCGTCATTTTTGTATCATTTCATCAGCTGAAAATGGCGTGCTTGGGCTTGAGGTGACGTCAGGCGGACCTCATCAACTGTTTGTTGCCTGGCAACCAGATCCTTGCTCTTCTGGCTACGAAGTGACAACCAGGGATGACTGTGGAAACATTGTATCTCAGGAATCGATAACAGAAACAACTTACCATTTCATAACTGGTTTAAAGTTACCGCTAAACAACAGAGTTTACATTCGGCCGTTGTATCCTGGTGATGTCAAGGGACCTGAGGTGACCTTTTCGCAAACAAGAAGTGAGTTAGAATATCATCAAAACTGGCAATTTTTTATCACATGGAACAATTTTTTTTTTTGCGCAATTAGTTCTCGTCATCAAATGTACACCAAACGTCTTTCGAAAAATATCTCGGTCAATAATGTTATAACAAGCTAGTTAGTACGAAGGTTTAAACATTTTGACATTAGTAATGTATCATATTCGTAAACAACGATTATCAACCTTAAAATTCACAGTGCCATAAAAAAAATTCATTAATTTCACAAAATTTTCAACAAGAGTAGTTCAAACAGGAAGCCATTGGTTCAGTGCATGTTACCTTTGAAAAGTTTTTATTTTGGTATATCAGGGCCAACTGAGTCCCCAACTGAAGTGAATTCCACCTCAGTGACGTCAACCAGCCTGAGTTTTTCCTGGAGTAAGCCACCTTGTGGAAGCCGAGGTGGTATCATCACAGGCTACACGTACATCCTGACTGGAGTAGGCCCACCATCTACAGAAGTCGTTCAGTCAGTGACATCAGAGGAATCGGTGACCATCCAGGGTTTATCCCCGCTCACTGAGTACAGTTTTCAGGTTGCTGCCAACACCAACGCGGGAGCCGGACCGTACAGTCAAGCTCAAGTGAAAACGACCCTCAAAGGTTAAAACATTATCAAAATATCTTTGCAAGTAACGTTTATAGGGCGCACCCTCAAAATATGTGTTAACAGCAATTCCTATTTTCTTGCCAAATGTTGTATTCTCCAGCCTTTTTCGTTTGAATTTGAGGAAGGTGTCTGTATTTCTCAAACATGCTTTGCCTTTCTCCTCGGACCTTAGAATTGTCCAGATCTTACAAAATCGTAAATGAAACTTCGTGAAATGAAAAGTAACTTTTGCTTGACAGACCTAGGTCCTCTTAGGCTATCAACTTGAAGAAATATATTCTTTCGTTAACTAAGGCTCAATGGCAACTGCCTGTGATTGTTTATCAACGTATTCATTTAACCATGCTGTTTGACATTACAGCATGTCCGACATTACAACAACCTTACTTTTTAATTCTCTAGTATATGTGTGTTTCCGGTGAAGAAATGTCGGGAGTAATTTAAACAAGATCTTTGTTAAATTACGTGACCATCAAAACCAAAAGACATCGTATCTAAGATAAAGTTTTCTAACTTTTCTCCAAACTGTCTTAATAATAGCGCCCCAAATGGATGTCGAACCCGCCCCTGACTCCTCGGCAGTGATAGGCGGCTCAGTAGCAGCTGCTGTAATCCTGATTCTGACGGTTATAACTGTCATCATTGTGTTCTATAAAAGGTACATCAAAATCATAATTACTTAAAGACTGAAATCATTCGCGAAAAATCTGGTTTCCTCTTTCGGCATTGATTAGATAGTTAGCAGTATCTTACCCAGGAAGATAATACACATTTCAAAGATTTGATATTGTATATAATACTCAAGTAATATTCCCATATTTTTTTCTGAAATAAAGATGGCAACACTTTTGATTTGATCCTTGAACTAATTTACAGAAGAAGCCGACGTAAAAACCAGCCCTCTGGCGTCAATGGAGATACTTCTCTTCAACAGAACAAAGCTTTCGAAGCAGGTGGGTTTTTTTGTCACAGCTATTAATTTTCAAATTGATTTGAATCTAATTCCGACTTGGTTGAAAGCAAAGCCCATTATTGGCCGTGACTAGGGACTAAAAGCCTTTTCAAAATTTCAAAATCTGCTAAACCAAAAATAGCTAAGCACGAAAGGACCTCAGCAGAAATAATGTGACAAACAACTTGCATAGCGTGAAATACTGTGTGGAATCTTTTCCCTAACTGAAGGCCAATATTTAGGCTTAGAAAGTTTTGCTAACAGATGTGTGTGACATTGAATTTATTTCATGTTTTGAAACCTGTCGGATGATGTTTTCTATTTAGATGTGGCCTATCAGGTTCCAGAACCTACTGCGGAACCGGCCCCGTACATGAGCCTTGGCGATGGTGTAGTCACGATATCTTCCGCCCATCCCATTGCACAGAACCCAAGTCCATCACAGGATGTGGATGATTATGAGGTTTCCTTATCCTCAGCCGAACCTCACGCGTACACATACGTAGACGCTGACATCATGAAGAAGTCGTCTGCACCGCAAACTGAACGAAAACCGAAGCCCAAACCGCCTCTGAAACCGCACGCCGCCAACGACGACACGTATGAGGTTCTGGATTCTGCGGAGTACGCATCCGTGGACGAGGGTAAAGAGAAGTCTTCCGCACCGTCCGTCGCACGCAAACCGATGCCCAAACCTCATTCGATACCATCCGTCTCGCAACCAGCTGCCGACGAATATGCGCAACAGCAGTTTTTCCAACACTTTTTCAGCCAGCTTTCGGTTCGTGCCGATGAGCTCTTAGAATACATCCGCAAGAAGGAGCAGGCTGACCAATATGGCTTTCCTGCGGATTTCAAGGTAAGTGAACATCAGAGTGTGCTGCTAATAACCAAGACAAAGTGCCCAGACTTTGGTATCTGTCAGTACGTAAGTCACAATTAGTAGGTAAGTTTGTAGGTATACAGTGGAATTGGTGTCTTCTGCGAAGAAGTGTGGGCCGGCAACGAACCAGTGGCGAGAATTGTTCTCGGCGTGTCGTGCGTACACTCTTCCATCGTCGGGTCAGAAAAAAAACGATCACGTAGGAATTTGCAGGAACTGGGGACACCATAAGTTGGAAAAAGAATGTTGTGATTAATATTACGATGTCTTATTTCTGGATGCTAGATATAGTGTCTTATTATTCTTCTTTCAGACCCTTCCAGATGGTCAGTTAGGTCCAGCGACTGTGGCTTTGAAACCACAAAACAAAACCAAGAATCGTGATGCGGACATCATTGTCTGTAAGTATTGGTACATCTCCACGGCTATATGATGCTGTTAGCTCTTTTGGTTAGAAAGCAGACAGAGAAGATTCGTAAGAATAAATTACACACTTCTAGAACTGATCTGATTTTTTTTAATCCTTTCCTTTTTGTCACATGTCTTTCGTGTTCAATAGAAAACACACTTTGTTTCTTCAATTTTCGAACAGTTGGTATACCACTCAATTAAATAAAACTGGCCACATTTAACTATCTACAATTTGAAGCCTCATTGCAGCGAAATAAATCCGGTTTTTTTCTCGATGTGATTGTTCATAGATGACCATTCTCGTGTCGTGTTGGAGCCATTGCCGAATGATCCCGATTCTGATTACATAAACGCTTGCTACATTGATGTAAGTAACAAGTACCATTTTATGCAATTAATTATTACTGTACACGTTCCCTAAATACGAAATTGACTCAGTTTCCTGTTTTACACAATGCTCCCGACGAACAATATCATTCTTTGAAATTTAAAAGAATCCCAATTTGAATGAGCTTTAAGGTGCATCAAAACAAAATGAATACTAAAATGATTACAACCAAAATTGTTCATTTTTCTTTAAAGGGTTATTTGGAGAAGGACAAGTACATTGCTAGTCAAGGTAATTTAAATTGAAATCTGCTTGCCTGTAGGCTTTAGAACTTGTTTATTTTAAAGTAATTGTATGGTCAAAAATATATAGCAGTATAAGCAGCCAAAAGTATATTCAATTGCTTAAGACATTGATTATCTGTTGTCTAAAAGGACCAACCGAATCGACGGTAGGAGATTTCTGGCGTATGGTGTGGCAGATGAAGGTGGATAAGATCATCATGCTGACCAATCCGGTAGAAAACGGCGAGGTAAAGTGGGCCATACTTCTTGCGAATAATCTCAATGTCTTAGAAGGCAGTTTGTTTGTAAGGAGGACTAAATGTCTTTTTAGAGAATGTTGATTGGTCTAGTGTAATTTAGTTTTGTAATTTGTCTAGTGTAATTTCTCAAACGTGCGTGGAATGTATAATGTAAAAAGGATCATTTTTTTTCATTCCATTTTATGTGTCATATAAGGTGAAGTGTCACCACTACTGGCCGGATACCGGATTCAAAACTTATTCTGACATCGCAGTCAGCACTGTAGAGAAAGAGGACGTGTTCTTGGACTACACCATTCGTGTGTTTCAGATAAACAAGGTAGTGCTCATTTACGTTTTTGGTTTCTGTCCTAATTGGTGTCCTGACTCCTGAAATCCCTTTGCGAGGATTGGGGTTATCAAAGGCTCTCTTTTGCCGAAGAAATGATTCATGAAAAGGTCGTTTTGACGGCGCTGTAAAAGGTACTCAGAAACTGATTCTAAAATTCTCTTTAAAGATGACTTGCTTTTAAACTTTTTTTTAGCCTTGGCTTCATCTTGGTCAATAAAAACAGAAAAATGCTTGATCGTCATACCTTATGTTTATATCACATTCAGGTGTTTAGTGCGGAAAGTAACAGGCTGGTGAAGCAGTTTCATTTCAAGACCTGGCCAGACACGGAAGCACCAGGGCAACCGACCACTGTGCTCAACTTCATGCAAGTAGTGAACGCTGAACGTAACAAGGGACGCACCGTCGTACATTGCAGGTAGGAACCGCCATGATACGAATAATTATGCGCCATAAGCGATAGTCAGCAGCTAAACTGCTTGATGACGTGTCTCCTTTCTCTTGTTTCAGGATCCGACTTACGTTAATTCTGAGTAATAGTGGAAAATGTTACTGTGGAATATTTTCTATGTCTTGGTGTCGCTTAAATTAATATTTTGCATTTCTTTTAATTAGAGTTGAAATTTTTCCAGTTTGGAGAATTGACCGACATGGTGACACCATGTAGGCCAACGTCTAGAATTATACTTGACACTTGCCATTTTGACACTTGCCATTGTCTTTGGTTTTCTAATAGTAATGGTATTGGCCGCACAGGAACCTACATCGCCCTGGACTCCATGCTTGATCAGATGCGCCAAGAGGGACAAGTTGATGTCCTTGGCTTCATCTATCGCATGAGACAAAAACGAAACAAGATGGTGCAAACACCGGTAAGTGTTGATACATTTGTTTTTAATGATGCGATACACATCCAAACGAATGGGATGATCAAGTTGTAAATCAACCTGATAAGTTCCTCTTGTTCGAAACAGAAGCCTAAGTAATAGATCTGAGAAGTCGGGTAACTATTACTTGAAGCTAGGTGGAATTGTTACATTGGACTAAATCACATCTGACAGAAGGAGACCAGTGGTGTTTATAGTCCATATAGAGGGCGCTTCATTTTCACACTATCAATTCTCGATTAGTCGTGTCTATTGTGATTAATAACATGAAATTATTTCATCGATGTTTCTATTTTAGGCGCAATACCGATTCATCTTCGAAGCTCTGCTGGCTGCTTCTAAGGAAGATGACACGTCTTACGAGATCGTAGGGAAGGGCGCCAAGAAAGCGAAGAAACAGGTGGATGCAAAACTGACTAGAAAGTAAACCTCGGTCATCTGAGTTGACCGTTTGACTAATGAGTTTGAAGATTTAGAGGCTGACATTGTACCTGATAGAGAATAAAAACCTCTTTATACCCAATGATCTTTAGTGTACTTTTTACGGATTTTGTTTTCATATTTGTCTCTGATTTGCATTTGCTTGAATTTGTATGCTTACGCTTTATTCGCTGATCATGTATATCTAAGATAATGGTAATTTGCAATTATACAGTTAACATTGATGCATACTTAATTATATCATGGAACTAACTGTGAATGAGAATTGAATGAATGGCGGTAAGGAAACAAAGCAACAGTTGGACTTAAAGTAACTATAAATGATCTAATGGTTGCTGATTACGACCAAATTTAACGAGAGAAAACGGTAACGTGTCTATTACATAAACAGCGTTATTAGATACTTTGGGGAAAGTTTGTTTAATATATGTGTTTGATTATGAAACACATTACGTATACCATGGACGTACTGCTTTGTATAATAAGAATGGAGAATACGTACCACATTGAATTTATATCTACTAATTGTATATTGGCCTACTCAGAAAAAAGTGTACTGCGTTAAGTTTATAATCTGTAATCGAGGTAAAACCTTTCGCCATTGTTACATTACAATAGTGCTAATTTTGTATTGTATATTGTTTATCATTTCGCCGTATTTTTGGGAGATTTTCAGAGTTAAGGAATTCATGAGCAGATTGTTAGTGTTGGCAATATGTGTCTTTTTAGCTGCGGGATAGCAGCTAAACAAAATATTTTCATCATGTCTCTCCGTTAGACATTGTCTATTGTTCTTATACATATTTTGACCGATTTCAACCAAATTTTGTCAAAAGTATCAGTAGCCGAGCCCCAACATGTCACATGGCCAAACTGAGGTCAAAGGTCATCATGGGGTCACTGGGGTCCAAAATCTGATTATTTTGTACTCAAAATACTACTCCTTCCAGAAATTACATAACACAATCACGTGACTCATACATAAACACGAATTTCTTGACTCGCAACTTCCGAGATATTGTCGATCGAGCTTGTTTATCACCAACGTTGAATGAATGTTTGTCTAGAGAATAATTTTATGTTATTAGACGACATTATCAGCACGAACCCAAATACTTTCAAATATCAAAGATGCATGTAAAAAGTAGTATTTTTTTAATCTGTATCAATATTGTTTTATTATTTACCGAAGGCTCAACTTAAAGGTTAAGTTTACTCAGACATTCTTTTGTTGCAGCAGATGTAATCGGAGTATATTTTATTTGCAGTTTTGTTTTTATCACATTTCGGATGTCATCGGATATTAAGATTCGATTAAACATGTGCAAAAAAAAGAGTCGTCAAATTTTCAACTGTTTTATTATACTGTAAGCTTCAATGTTGTGTAGACGCATCAACCTAACGTGGTATTTTTTTACCCGAATGCGGCATTGTTCAGGGCGTCAGGACATCGTTCAATATTTCACGTCAATTTTCCTGTCATGTGACTTTATAAACACATAATTATCGTACCGAGGGTGATGCATAGGCCGCTTGCATGTTTGCACCAATCAAGGGTCCTATTCAATTAAATAATGGATCTGGTTTTTTTACAGACCGGAAGCTAACGCAACTTAAGTTTTATCCAATGGGCGCTAGTGTATGACGTTTTTACTAACAAGTGTACCGTGAAATATGGACTAATTGGTAGTATTGCGCATACGTAAGTATGATAATAGCCTATTTTAGGCATAGAGGAGTGACTTGTCACGTGCGAGGGATTAACCAATAATAGGGAAAAGGAGTACGATTTCCACTAGGGTCGGATTTTCATATGACACGGGCAAAGCGCGTCGCTCTTGTGTAACGCGCGCGTGCAAGTGTAAATGCGTATTCTGTGTATGCGCGCGTAATTTGCTGATATTCTTTACATGTTCATCAGCTTCGAATTACACCGGACGCTTGTATAAAGCCGGTCCTTTTCAACAAAACAGGCATCCATTGTGGAAACTGCATCACAAGGATATCATGCTTGAATCGCCCATTTCCCATGAGATTATCCACATCAGTTACTTGGAGAGGTAGCATGAGGTTCAGGGTTCGTCTTGGTGCGTTTCTGGTGTCTTTCCTTGTCTTCGCACTCAATGAAGGTATGTAAAAATATCCGCATATTTTTAATTCACTGCCTAGCTTTCGATAAATAGGCCTAACTTATTGAGACAAGGAAGTATGCCTACAAGTACAATAAAGCAAAATGGGCCTAGACCTACTTAGACTTCCTAAACAACAGAAGGTGTCTATATAAATTAGCCCAGGTGGTCTCCCTTATATACCACCCTACGTTACCTCCCTACGTAATGCAATGAAAACGTCGTCCAACCCGGGCAATAAATTTGACCTTATATAGTTTTGAATGTCTTGAGAAGTATTGGGTCTAGTTCGGGTGTGTTTGCATGCTATAGGCCTACTTAGTTTTCGCCCTATCTGTCGGCAGGCATAACCTCTAATGTCATAGTCGTAGACCAGGTAGACTCCCCTACGGAACTGCGTTAATCGTAATGCAATGAAGACGTCGTCAAACCTGGGTTAGGGAGTCCTGACCTTTACGCTCAATTTTGAAACTTCTTACAGAATGTATATTATTTCAAAATTAGGATTTGCAGTCTTGGGAGTCTTCATATTTTACTTCGGAACAGCTTTTTTTTTCCATTTTGTAACGGACATGAGAAAAAAATATATAATTCTTACCAGAATTGGCTGTATTCGGTAGTGTCGCCATCTTGGTTTTCGAGCGTGTTTTTTTGGTTGTCGTCGTCTTTTACCCCGTAATTTCCTCATAGATCAAAGCCCTGCCTTTTTTCCATAAAATTAAACCGGCTGGTATTTAAGAGGTCTAAACAAGCTGTTCAGATATGTTAAGAAAGGGTGTCAATTAGTCAGCTGTTTTTGTGAGTCTTGTAAAAGTAACGACTACCTTTGAAGGAGACCCTTTGAGTTTGAAAACTGTTTTATTGCAGGACTATGTGTTGATTTGCAAGGCCCTGGAGTTATAACGAGTCAGAGTTCCGACGGAGGCGTTTCTGTTTATGCTGAAAAGGCGGCAGACGGAAGGATTGATACCCTCGCACGTACAGGTCAGCAGCGTTTCTACCTTACGCAACAGAAAATAGAAACGGGTAGCTTTTTGCTGGCTCCATATTTGACCAACATCATAACAGTAGTCTCGGGGTGCAAGAGGTGGCGAAAACAACGAACGAGAACTTGTTGAAAGTTGCGTGTTGAAAGAACGAAGTGCATCGTAGGGCTTTCCTAACACTTGTATACCCAGCACGATTTGAGACGAAGGGGTACCCCCCCCCCCCAGACTATTGTTACCTAACACATCCCCTAGATATCTCAATAGAATTCCTGAGATTGTGGTAACACAATGACCAACACAAAGGTGTGGGGGGGGGGGTTCCCTCCGTCTCATATCGCGCAACATAATACGCTAGCTTGAGCGCAACATTTTAAGTTGACGGAGAAAACCAATGTGTCATACAGCATTTTGTAAACATAATTTTTACCTTTTTTTTCGTCAACTCAGGGTGGAGTGAAAGTGCACGTGTGAACCCATGGTGGAAAGTGGATATGGGAGCCATCTATTGCCTGAGAAAAATTAGTCTTGTTAACAGGATATCATCAGACGTTTCTCTAGGTATTGTTCCGTAAAATTATGTTATCGTTTTTATACCAAGAGACCCGGGTTGGTTTGGGTAAAGAACCATATTATATAACATACTAAAAGGTATTTTTTTATTATGAAATGATAAATTGAAATTATAATTGCTGCCTGAAATATTGAGAATATTATGCTTTGCGGACCTACAGTTCTATGTTACAAAGAGTGGGTGTAAAGGGTTTTTGTTTTAATAAAACTGAGGATTGACGAATTAGGTCAGTAAAAAAATCCTCCTGTATCCAATACAAAATCATGAGAAATTGTAAAGCTTTTAGAAACTATGGTATTTAGTAGCTTGAGGGCGCCGTTCGATGCCTTTTTGGGTAAAAATGCAGTAAATTCAAGGTTAATAACGTTTGTTTACATATTTTTACAACTCAGTAGTTACATTTTTATATTTTTTTGGTTGTTATTGTTTTTTGGTTGTTTTTTTTTAGATTTAGATAAGTTCCTTTGCTGACTAAGTAAACAAAAAATTTCCAAGTTATTTTCTATACCCAGAAAATGACGTAATTACAAAAGAAAACAAATGCAGGTTGTGATTTAACGTGTTGCAGCTAGTCGCGTACGGAACAATGTGATCCGTGCTGGTTTGAGCTCGCAGCACCTGTTGAACCAAGAGATAGGGCGTGTCTCGGAGGACCAAGCTATAAGCGGTGCCGTGCTGGATTTCCTACCAGACCCCTACGTCACTGCACGATACGTCAGCGTGGATATCCCTGGTAGCGGCGCCGATACTATCGTCCAGTTAGTTGAAGTCATGATTGAGGAGGTTACCGTGGATACAATCCAGACGGACACACCAACAGGTGGGCAAACATAACGACTCAGGACTGAGCTGAAAGCTCAAAAGCGACTTATGTGCAGGTGTTCATGCTGTTATTATATTTGGCCCTGATGGTTTTATATACATAGATCAACTTAGTACGGTGTGGAATCTCAGTGCGCTTAACTTCAGTATTACCCCTGCTCATTGGGCCCATAAACATTCCAAAGACCATCCCAACTCCCTGGGGAGTAGGCCTATACAGCTCGATGTATACAGCTTCGTTGCAAAGCAATTCAAATCACAATTACCAATTCTGTACTCACTTGTATGGTACCCATTTAGGCTTTGGTACTCCTGATGAGTGAGTACTAGCTATTAGTTACAAAGTGCCTTGTCTCGTAAGGACACAATCATGTGCCACAATCTCATGCCCTGGCTGGACTCGAATCCACAACCTGCAGCAGAATTGCTTCTTGAAGATCTGATAAGGAACATAATTCCTATCGACATAAGTCACCAAGCGTTGCAAGTTGTTTCTTGTTTGCTTCTTGTTTTGTTTCAAGATTCAAGCCATTTTTTCTCGTTATTATCGACAGAGACATCGCGTTTTTATTACAATAACTGAACTATCTAATGGTAAAGGAGCATGAGGTGATACTGTCGGAATTTGATCTTTTTGTTTTGTTTACAATCCCTGAAGCTCTTACTCTGACTGGTCTTGCGACCAATCAGAGTTCAATTGATATGAGCGGTTCGTGGGAGGCCGACAGAGCAATCGATGGGTCTTCACAGTACGATGACACCAGCTGTAGTCGAACAAGTAAGCCTTGTGCGATCGTGAAACGGAGCAGTGGTCAAATCCAACTCAAGTCCGTCATGTCATATCACAAGTCAAATCACAAGTCAAAATCGTTAATCAATCACAATCAATCAAGATTCAAATCATCGGTCAATCGCAAGACAAATCATCAGTCAATCACAAGTCAAGACTGGACGACCTGTGATTGTCTTGTGATGGTCTTTACCACAGCTCTGTCTTAACCTTAAATCTGTAAGCCCTTGGCCGAAGTTTAACAATAAGTGTATCAATAATTTAGTAGGAACATTTCAACCATTTTGAGAAATATTATTTTCTAGCATTGGAGGGAGAAAATCTTTAAGTTAAATGAAATTTTAATACGGTGATTTTTCAGGAAACGTACAGTGGAAAACGTCCACACTTCGCTAAAAGCTATCTTGCTCTTGTATTTTATGGGAATTTTTGTTCAATATTCAAACATTTTGATATGTAATAGTGATTAAGATTATTGTTTATTTTTCTCAGATGTTGAGCTGAATCCGTGGTGGCACATAGACCTGAACTCCCCTCGCTGTGTTGGTAAAATCGCCATTAGGAACATCGACGACATTAAACGTAAGCTTCTTGGCAGTCTGTGTTACGCTTATAAACCATATATAGGGTTGCAAACAGTCGGTGTGTCACGCGCAATGTGGGAGTCTGAGTAAATTCGGAATGTGCCCAGGGCAAAGTGGGAATTCTAACACTGCGCTGCTAAGTGGAAATGTTGTCTTTATTTCCATTGAACATCAATAACTTGAACTCTCCATAACAGTTTTGGATGTATTCCTACTTTGCCGGGCAGTATTGGAATTCCCACTCTGCCCAGCCGGACAAAGTGGGAATTCCAGCTTTGCGCAGATTCCTAATTTGGCCGCGTCAGATTGTCTCAATACATGGATTTGCTCCTATAGTATTCGTTTTCCATTTTCCCTTTCAGACACCACCAGATTAGAGTTAGAGGGCGCGGTTGTCCGTGCTGGCCTGGATGCCACGCCCACAGCAAATCCGACGTGTGGTTCACCAGTAAGCCAGTATCAAGCCTTAATCAATGATTGGATTGAATTCACCTGCGATCCCTCTAGACTCGCCCGATATGTTAGCGTCGATGTTCCTACAGAAACAGCTCTGACACTATGCGAAGTAATGATATGGCCGTGTGATCTCCCAGAAATAGGTAGACTTTGCAGAATATATTTTTTTCAAAGTTCATTTTTGTCCTTATTTGTCACCGACAGCAAGATTTGTGCTTATTTTTTTCAACTTTCAAAGGCACTGCTTCTTTGTCAACTCGTGGGAATAAAATATTAAATAGTTTTCAATTTCACCCGCCCGACTTTTCACTACCATGTTGCATGAACCTAAACTGCAATTAAATCAAATTTTGATATGCGGCCAAATAGCTACTGGTACGTTAACATGATAGCGAGAAAAGTTAGGCACATTTCTTTTGATTTTTTTTCTCGGGCATTACCCCCATCTTAACTTCAGAGAAAAATGTTATAGCTTCACTTTCTTAATATTGTCTGGGGTTTTTTTTATGTCTTCCTGCAAATGATCCGTCTGATGGATTGCTAATGAATTACATAATGGATTACATACTTGTACCAATGATGTATTATCTTTGATTAGCCATAGCCCTGGCTGACAGGCCGGGTAGTCAAAGCTCTACGATGAACAGTCAGGGTTCTACCAGAGCTCTTGATGGTCTACCAGAGGATCCATTCTGTAGCCTCACAAGTAAGTGGCTTCGTGTAAAGGCTATGGATATGAACACCATTTGATTTTTTTTTTTTCATTTGAAGTCTGTGATGTTTTCTCAAAGATTACTGAGGTGGCACCCTGCAAGCGCGCAAGTCGTGCGCGTGCACTGAGTGGACCTCCGACCAATAGGGTTGGAGGAAATAATACGCGCGCGCCTCAATTTGAAGGACGCATACAATAATGCGCGCGGGTGGGGCACCACTTCAGTAATGACTTAAAATTGTATTTGCGGTATAGAACATAGCCTTCTTAAGAATATTTTTTTCTTTTCAGATTACGAAGAGAACCCATGGTGGACGGTGGACCTAGAGTCAAACAATTGTCTTGGAAAAATCCAAGTCAGGAATACTGGTAGTGCAGAAGGTGAGCTTGGTTGATGTTTATTCGTTAATTAGGTTCGCTTCGATTAAATATTGGAAGAATCATACAAATCACCATTTTGTCTTTTGGAGAAAGGTTTACGGAAGAAATGCTCTATAGAATATTCATAAAAATTGACGAGTTCCCCACTTTTCTATTTTTATTGTAGCGAATAATTGTCAACATTGACAAATCTGATTCTTTCAACCCAGAACCCGATTTGCTAGGTGCTGTTGTACGTGCTGGGCTAAGCGAAGTTCCCACCGATAACAACATGTGTGGTAGTCCAGTGACTGGTGGCCAGTCCGTTAAAAACGATTGGGTGGAGTTTACCTGCGATCCGCCCGTGCTTGCCCGGTATGTCAGCGTGGATATCCCTGGAATGGCCAGCCTCAAAGTATGCGAGGTGGTGGTGGCTACGTGCGACTTCCAGCCAGAGGGTAAAATGGGTTTGAAAAATTTACAAACTTTTCCAGAATAAACGAATTGCATCGATCGTGAAAATTCAAGACATACTGACTAAAATATCGCAATTTCAGTTAAACAATGTACCACGACTGAATAATTATTAAAAATCGCTCTCAATCTGTGAGAAATATTGCTATAAAACAAAATTTTGGAAGAACACTAAATTGATGTAAAGTAAACCATCTTAAAATCGTTGACAAAAAAATATGTTCTTAGCATTTAAGCTGAGAAAAATCCGCTTCCAAAGTTAGCATAAATTGTCGTTTTTTAAATTACAGTGAACAAATTGGATTTTACCCTTGTGACCAATCCTGCACTCGTTGGAATCACCGAAACTGAGGACGACAATGCAACCATGACAGCGTACAAAGGTCCTGGTGACATCACAGCCAGTGTCTCGTTCGGCCGCCAACTCACAACAGGAGGGAATAGCGGGGAACTTCCCTCGGGATCTATGGTATCGTCTGATCCGTCCACAGGATGTGCAGCTAGATTGATCCTGAGATTACCAGAGGAGGGTGGGATTGACAGGGCAGGCGTCTTCTACTCTGAGGCGATCAGCAATGACATCACTACTAGGATACAGACCGTCATTTTACCTCGAGGTAGGAATTTCCAGCTTTCATCTGAAACCATTTCATCGGTGAAATTAGAAAAGATTCAAATTATTACTTGGACGCTACCGCCAATGTCAATTGCCTATTGAAATACAGGATGCTATTTTCTTTGACCTTATTTCAGAAGATGCCACCCATCTCAGTCCAGTTGAACGCACTCAGACAGCTAGTATCGAAGACTCTGTGGTGCTGCAAATGCGTGACGTCAACTCCCCAAACACCAACTACAGGTGGCGGCGGAATGGTAGTGACGTCATCGAAGCTTGGAACGGCCTCCTGAACGTAGCGATTCCCAATGTAACCAAGGAGGATGAAGGAGTCTACAGCTGCTTCGCCTTAGATCAAGAGGATGAGCAGCTGCATGGAATCATGAGGCTCATAGTTAGAGGTCTGTTTTCACTCATTTAACTTTTGACGGTCTTTGCCATTCTATAAATATGGTTACCCCAATCTTCACATTTTAGTTGTTTTAGGATCTTATTACTGCTCACTTACCGTAATTTTTGGAATATAAGCCGCGCGGAGTATCAGCCGCAGCACGCAAAAATCTGCAAATTCAGATTTAAAGTCGGCGTATAAGCCGCACCGGCGTATAAGCCGCACCGACCGCAGCGGTTTCGATTTTGTAAGGCCTCCAAATTCTAGTCAAAATGCTCAGAACCAGTTCCATTTACACTACAGAAGCTATTAAAAGGGCCACAAAAGTTATATCAAATCATTTACAATACTTTACAATCATTTACGATACTCTTACAAACAAATATGGAAATTGATGATGGGAAATAAACACCGGGAATTGCTGCCGGCTGCCCCGTCAGGTCCCCGGCCTTAAAAGTTAGTGCATGGCCCGGTAGCCTGCGCTGCGCCGGTGAATGACAACATTTTCCCGCAGCACGTGAGAGAGTATGCAACCCCACCGTGTACCACACGATATGCAGCATGACCACATCAAATCTTAAATGTGTTTCTTTGTTGACTTTTTTTAGCAAGTTGAGTTTCGTTGCAAATGTGCCAATGTCCTGAACATCATTTCTGAAGTTCTGTACTCGGTCGATTTGCTCTCATTTTGTCTTGGCTCAGAGTAACTTCCACCATTTTCTTTGCGTTCATGGAATACCAGGTTGTTCTGCTGGACATTGGGACCCGCCATCATGTCTGAAAACTTGTCGTCGATGCTTCAATGGCGGTGTATGTGATGACGAGTCTGGTACGTGTGTGTGCGCTACGGGGTTCAGCGGAGACAACTGCGAGCAAGGTACATACAGAGTTGGAGGCCTTCCAGACGCTAGGTGGCAGCAGAAAGATATATAGCTTTATTCTTTTTTTTTGTTTTTCAAATTCAATTGCTGCCGCTCAAATAATATTGTTAGCTGTTAACAACGGTTGAGATCGTAATGGCAGCCTTCAAACAGATTTGAAAGATAACATCCCTTCAATTTAGTCATGTTGCAAGCCCTTGAGTAAATGTGAAACATCGGTAGGGAAAAAACACAGATTTCGTTCAGCTGTTGTCATCTTGGTGTGGTGTTTTGCAGCCCATGGCCGTAATGTCTTTGGTAAGACTGCTGATCAGAGGTGTTCCAATAGCACTGATCCACACCACGAGGCTTGCAGAGGGCGCCTGTTCTGTCTTCCTGATCCTTATGGATGCTCGTGTGCTGCAGGTTACATGGGACTTGACTGTATGCAAGGTACTTGGCGACTCAATGATAACCTCTGAAATTGTAATGATTTCATTTTTGATATCAGTTTTGTCATGCATTTTTTCATGCATTTATGGTTACACTTGCGAATCAGTGAACGATGCGTATTAAGTGAACAAGTATTTTGTGTTATATATCGCGCTACACTTGGAGCAAACATTTAACTTTTTAAACATCTTTTTTTTTGTCAATGTCAAATATAAGAATGTCTTGAAGGAACATTTGGTGCCGACTGTAAGCAGACATGTCACTGTACATCGGGAGGAACCTGCAATAAAGATACTGGAGAATGCAGCTCGGGTACGATGATTCGTCTTAAATTGTCCCCTTAAAATGTTAAACCTTGAAAATAATGTTGTGGCAAATCAATTTATTCCTTAATTTAATTAATGCACTTCTTTATTGGCTTCCCCCATTTTATTTACTATTCCGGGAGTTTTGAGAAAAAAAATATTTTAACATCTATTTTAGAATTATTAATAATGAAATGTTTCATTTCTTTCAGGTTGCGAGGCGCCATATTTCGGAAGTAATTGTCAGTGTTCGAGTGAGTTTCAAATTCCCTGATTCACTCAATACAGTGCAGTATTCGGTGAAATAATAAAATAACTTTTTGAAATAATATTTTTTATTTTAAATCAAAATACTTATTCTGAAATCCGTGCAAATGAATTTGTATCCGGCATATCGTTTCAGCTCAAAATAGCGTAGTTGGGTTGGAAGCCACGACGGGCGGTCCTCATCAGCTGTTCGTTGCCTGGCAACCAGATGCTTGCTCTTCTGGCTACGAATTGACGACCACGGATGACTGTGGAAACAGTGTGTCTCAGGAGCTGCCAATGGAAACAACTTACCATTTCATAACTGACTTAGGGTCCCCACTGAACTACAGAGTTCACATTCGGCCGTTGTACCCTGGTGATGTACAGGGACCCGAGATGGCCTCTCCTCCATTAACTACAAGTGAGATTTTTACCGTCACTATTGCCAATTTTGTTCAGGTAGAATATGTAGCATAGACGATACATAATGCCAAAACCGTTAGCTTATCTTTATCAATTGTCAGTGATTGATTTTGCAAAATTATTAAACGAGTTTGACATGATGGAAAGAAGGAATTTGCACAGAATATTCGTTTGATGTCATCTGACGTAACTTTTTTTTATAGGAGCGCCGTCTGAGTCCCCAACTGAAGTGAATTCCATCTCAGTGACGTCATCCAGCCTGAGTTTTTCCTGGAGTAAGCCACCTTGTGGAAGCCGAGGTGGTATCATCACAGGCTACACGTACATCCTGACTGAAGTAGGCCCACCATCTACAGAAGTCGTTCAGTCAGTGACATCAGAGGAATCGGTGACCATCCAGGGTTTATCCCCGCTCACTGAGTACAGTTTTCAGGTTGCTGCTAGCACCACTGCCGGAGCCGGACCGTACAGTGGAGCTGTTAGAACAACGACTTCGTTAAGCGGTACATTTTACTTTTTATACCCGATAAAAAACCTCGAATTTCCGTCAATGTATACTTTCAACATGAAATATGATATGATTTTGTGTACCACACCTGCGATTGATTGGTTTCCATAACACCTATTTTCAAAATCTGTACGTGAATGGTTCAAGCGTCCCTCAATCATGCAACACCGCATATTCCAGCCGTGCGCGTCGGACTTTCGTACACGCATGCCCGACATAAATCACGGCTGTGATTGGTCACTAAACACCATGGGGCGAGGCTTTTGGATCGGTCTATTACTTTATAAGGCTGCATCCGAATCAGCTATATCTAGAGCTAGGTCTAGGTCTGCACCCATTGAAAATACGCAGGGGCGCGCTGACAATAGGCGTAGCCGTAGCTCTGGAAGCCCGTTTTGGGCACAGCCTTACCCTCTGTGATAGTCCCTCGTGGTATCCATGTCGTTTAATGACTATCAGTCCAATTAACTTTAATGTTTCTATTTCAAGTGACGGTCTCCCCAACGGATAGAACGCAGGGTCCTATATCGATGTCCCCAACGGATAGAACGCTGGGTCCTACATCGCTGGCGGTTGTTTTGGAAACAGAAATAGCCACAGTGATTCTCCTATCGTTGACAGTAGTCTCCGTTGTGGTTTAGAAAAGGTAATTTATAATTATTTAATGAATAACAAACAATGACAATGAGCCTTTATAATGTAACCTACATTGTGAATATTTTTTTATGATCAGTAACTTAAGAACAATATCAAACCTTTTTTTTTTGTTCTTGTACAAAATATTCTACCTTAGGCCTGTAACAAAATGGCTGTATCAGAGTTATTATTTTTGGGATAGTAACTTCCGAACAATTCATGCACACAAAATTGGTCTTATCCTTGAACCCACTTTATAGAAGACACCCGTTCATACCTACTGAGAACATTCCTTTGTTTCATGTATACTTAAGAAAAACCCGTGAAAAAAATCAAATTTACTCGCACTCTTTCAACCCAATTTTTGTTATCATGATTTGCTTGGGTGTTCCTCTTCATTTTCCGACGATAACCATAAACCAAAATGCCTCTGCAACCTGTTTTCCAGAGAGTGGGAAACCACGTGTGGACGTGCGCAAGTCCACAGAGCGTTCACGCTGCCAGCATCCTTTGGACCTCTTTTGTTCACAGGTCCACAGAGAGTAAGGATAGAGCATCCTGGGGAGCTGGATATCGTGAAGACGTCCTCGCTTCACCAGAACCACCTAAGATTCCAAGCCCGGACGACTGGATATGAAGACTCGGCGCACAAGTACCCCCTCATTGGGTTGCAAAGAGAGAGTTATTAAGCGGTACTCGAATGGAGTTTAAAGTTTAATGAGAAGATAAAGGGTTAAACGTTTCATAGTGGCGACTTGGACATGTATTTGGAATTATCGCGATTAAACCATAGAATTGTTTTAATTTCTGCCTCAAAGCCTTGATTTTCGAGTGGTCAAATTATGTGGTAGCCACAGGCTAGTTTTGGAGGCTTATGTAGAATTTTTTTTGTTTTTAGAATGCAGTTTGTTTAAATAAAAATGGAAAATAAAAATGCAGTGAATCTTATAAAACATTTAATATGGCTTGTTCCTTTGGTGGCTGAATTAATTTCATTAAAAAAAAAATCCCATTTAGCCACTCATGGTAACCACACCAACCCGCCCGCCTCATCCCGAAAACACCTGTATTCGTACAGTTTGGCTAATTGATTGATTGGAAGTGCGCCCTCAATAAATCGGAAAGTCTATTTGCATCCGCTGATTGTTATCCTCAATGTTTACCGTTCAGAAAGTTGTCTGAAAGTCATAATAATCAAGCGTGGACAACTTCGTCTTCAAATCAGAACGTTATTTACTGAATGTTAGGTTTGAAATGTCAAAATAATTTACAAAGGGATCAGCTAGTTACATTTAGTTTTACGGAATTCAAAGCAAGAAAATTGAAGCGACTGGTAATCAGACAAGCACAGACCGGTAAAATACTGCGCAAAAGTCGTCAAGGTTATGTTGCACGCAGCGGATACATCCAGGCACGTATGTTGACACGTACACACAAAACTGACACGTTGTTGGTTGACTTCCACATGTGCAACGCTTTTCTCGTTCTTTCCGTGCGTTACCCATGCAACTCGCTACAATCATGGCGCAACTTGTCACCCTTATCTCGCTAGTTTTCCTCCTCTTCGTGGCCAAGACTTTCATCCAAAATGTAGACAGTCAGACAGAGGAGAAGTCGGCGCCGGCCACGACTTACGATGAGTGGTATCAAAGCGGGATGGATGCCTACAATAAGGAGAACTGGGAAGACACTGTTTACTATCTTGAGAAAGCCCTGGAAGAATTTCGGTTCTACCGGTCCAGTCTGGTGGAGTGCCGTATAAAATGCAGTAATTTCACTCGCACCCCGAGCTTGAAGGACGAGAGCACGCTCTTGGAAGAAATGAAGTATTTTCAGGGGCTTTTTCTCAAGGCTAACTGCGTTCGGAAATGTAAATTTGAGAAGTTGGGAGACCGACCGCAGCTGATCGACAACGACATGACTGACAAGTTCCTTAGCAGGATGCCTTACAGTTATTTGCAGTTTGCTTACTACAAGGTAATTATGATGTATTCATTATTATTTATTATTATTTCATTTTTTGGGCGGTTTATTTTCAAGGTTTCGTTTTAGGAGTAATTGCAGAATACCCCGCCACTCGGAAATACACCCCTAAATTCTCTGGCTACGAGGTTGGAATCACTGGAAAAGAAACAATTCAAGTCCATGCCAGCTACGCGGCATGGTGGGGATTATTTGAGAACGAAGCAACACAAAAGGAATGGGAGTTGCTGAAAAAAATTTTAAGTCCAAACCAACCACCCAGTTGGCGGCTACGCAGATACGGAGTGGGAGTGCAATGGAGCATGACGCATAGTACATACAAGTAGCGCTGAGAATGTTTATTGAGGTCAACCAACCGTGACCTCGTAGCCGGCTACGAGGTGGATAGATCGAGTGGCGGAGTATTCTGCAATTGTGCCTCGTTTTACGCAAACATGATTTCTGTATTGTAATATTTATAATACGGCGATCGTGTAGTCATGGTAGTGTAGGGCCCCTGTTTAGTTTCGATCAAATTAGAGTCGAGTGTTTTTTATAACCCAAAAATGACCTTTTCAACCTAAAGCAGATTTCTTTCAAATAGTAACACCTTTTTAAAATAAATTTCTTGGGGTAGAAATTACGTTCCTACGCAGTTTACGGTTGGTGCCGTGCGAGTCAGCGCGCCTTGTACTCCTAGAACTATGAGGCTCCGCGTGAGCGGAGCCTCATAGATCAAGAAGCCCGCAAAATTGCCTGCAGCACAAAACACTAATAAAGTACAAAAACGTCCATCAAAATGCAGCCATTTCACACAGAACCGCTGCACAGTTTGCCCCTATACTCCGTACTTTATCTCTTGACATACTCAGGTATCTTGTGCGGAACTAACATAGGTGGATTCTGTCGGTTTTTAGGCCAAAATGATGAAAAAATGTGCCCTTTCCGCACTGAGCCAACCGAACACTTGAAACGTGCACGCATATGATCGAGCGATGATTTTCGGTTCGCTCGGAGCGCGCCGCGGGGGGTACGGTACAAGCGAAATGATGTGCATGCGTACAAGTGCATGTACCGTACCCCCCGCGGCGCGCTCCGAGCGAACCGAAAATCATCGCTCGATCATATGCGTGCACGTTTCAAGTGTTCGGTTGGCTCAGTGCGGAAAGGGCATATTTTTCATCATTTTGGCCTAAAAACTGACAGAATCCACCTATGTTAGTTCCGCACAAGATACGTGAGTATGTCAAGAGATAAAGTACGGAGTATAGGGGCAAACTGTGCAGCGGTTCTGTGTGAAATGGCTGCATTTTGATGGACGTTTTTGTACTTTATTAGTGTTTTGTGCTGCAGGCAATTTTGCGGGCTTCTTGATCTATGAGGCTCCGCTCACGTGGAGCCTCATAGTTCTAGGAGTACGCGCCTTGCACGTTCACATTCACGGTACATCGCGCGGTGATCGCCATCTTGCGTTTCGTTGTCATCGTCATTTTACCCCCATATTTCCCTCAAAAATTTAAAACCCTGCCCTCCTGCATGTTCTAAATGTCACCAACTATTTTGGTAGGTCAAATAATTTAAAAGTGGATATTGTTCCTTTATGTAGGGAACCGGGCCCGTAGACACAATTGCCTATAATTAGTGCATGTAGTATTGATAAAGAGTGTCATTGTCAATTGATTTGTGGTAGGCGCAAAGTTTGGGCCCTTTTTGAAGTTTATAATTGCAGTCACAGGCGGTTAGTACCGGTAAATCATTGCTCGAATGCTGAACTCATCGCAAATATGTGGTGAGGTAGATGGGAGGTGGCGCATCTGGACATGCACTGACACATGGGGGCGCTGTTCGATGCAGACAATACTGGCTCATAGACATGTAATAAAACCTAGACACGACATTTGCTATTGCGCCTGTGAGCTAAATGCTGCGTGTATAGAATAACTAAGAAGTATGCGCGTAAATCAAAGCCATGCATGACATTCGCGCATCGCGTAATTAAGCCGCGTGACGCAGCCCGTTTTGCTCACAGAATTTACAACGAAGAAAGCAGATAATGTTGACAGTTGTGTCTAGGTTTTATTATATGTCTACGTACTGGATACTATCTAACTAAAGCCATGACCGGATTACTTGAATTACACAAGGGGGCTGTACAAGTAGCCGCAGCCACTTCTCAAAGATCCGTGTCTAATTTCAAGTCTGAGCCAAGTAATTCGGACATAGCCTAAAGCCCGGTTCATACTTCACGCGAAAGCTTGTGCGAAGCAAAATTCATGTCGTCAACAATGGTGGACGCGCTTTGAATGTATTGTTGACGTCACGAATTTCGCTTCGCTTTCGCGTTAAGTATGAACCGGGCTTAAGTTCATTCAAAATAAGGGTAATAGGCCTATAACTGCATGTATTCTCATCATACTGTAAACAAACGTGAAACATTGCACATGTATACATACATGTGGTATAAAAAAGGGGATGTTTCTATGGTCAGTTTCAGAAATTGCCGACATGTGGTTGAGTGAGTCTGCTTCATTGTTATCACAGCATATGTTTTTTTCAAAGACACCAGCTTTGTCAATTATTGTCAAATTTCACGGCTTGTTGCTTTGGGGTTGTAAGGCCTGGGGTACACTGTTGTTAGTACAAATACTTCATTCAGATTCACTCAGCCTTACACTTGTGGTGGTTTGTGGGGCTGCTAGTGTCGTCTCTGTCTACATATCTGACTGACTGACAGTCACTCACTTGTGAGCCGGGCAATAATGTCATAGGATTACAACAAAAATGTCATAGGATGTACATGTACCTCTGTCATTTCTGTTTTAGCCTCTGAAGAAGAACTTGCTAAGTTCGCAACGTCAGGCCACATTAATTTTAAGATTTAATAATTACGCCAGTTACTTTTTGGATAGCTGCAAATGATGGACTCCGGCTTTAAATGATTTCATTATTTAAGTTTAATCAAGGCAAGGCTAGCTCTGTTAGCTTATCCCAGAGCCCACAATATTCTATTCAATTGATTGAGAATGGATATTCACTAGGATTTTGTTCATGCATCTTTACTGTGTACACAATGGGCTTGATTCAGCCAATTCATTGGCATTACCGGCTAAAAGGTAAAGGTCCCATAGCCATTACTGGGCGTAGGGGCAGTGGGATGTTAGAGGTCCACTGTGTCTTGGGCGCGGCATATGAGTGGCGGTGGCCATCTCCTCTCCTTTTGCCGTCTAACTGGGTAATCCTATGACATTATTGCCCGGCTCACAAGTAATTATTGTTCAAAAACATACTTGGTTGAAACATGGTTGAAAGATAGTAAGGGGACTAAACTCCCTGTGAAATTATTCTTTCTGGCAAGCTTTCATTTTGAAGAAATTAACGAAAGAAGGCCTTTCCAACGTACACCGTTGGAAATTTCCGCAAGCATTGGCACGACGCACACGCGTGTGTGGTTGCTATAATTTGTCGGATCAGTGAGCTACATCGCGTAAGCTGCAGTCGGCTCAGTGAGAACATGGTGGAACGTGTCTCGGATGCTGAATTCAGGCCCAATTCAAAATGTGATTGAGCAACTTTTGATTTGAAATCGAGATCATAGAATGTTGTTTTTCTTGCAATATACAGCTGAAGCTGATCCTTCATTAGATTTTGAGCACTTCTGTTGCTTCAAACGAACAAAATGCACAAATTACAAATGATGGACTATAAATAACCAGGGTTGCACTGTAATTTCTTCTACACAAACAATCGCTCAGAACCAGACAAGTTCAATCGCCATACTTTTATGACCACTTCACCTCTGAATTGACGGGTTTTATGGCCAGTCTATAGACTTCATTCCAGTTGTCATAACATCCCAGCATGACCAAGAATTTCCTGTAGTGACTCCAGTCCAAACCTTTTTTATTGTGAACTGTTACAGCATTGCTTTCCGGAATGGATCAGATTTCAGTGTTTCTCATCAATTGCGTTTGCTGACTTTCCAAATAAACAGTTCATATATATGCCAGATGACACAAGGTGGTACCTGCTGTACGTGTAGGATTTTAAGATTGAAGCAATTTTCATATTTTCAGTGAAAAAAAATTCAACTTCAGGGCAATTCCGCAAATTTGGACTTACAATGTACGTGTCAGACACTTTAATGAGCTGCTGTTGGAAAAGTGGATGTGATACATCACTAATAATGTGACATCTAATGAGTAGAAAACAATTACAGACCAAACTAAGGTACCACCACCTTAGGCAGAAAAAATAGTTATACAGTGTATTCGTATTTATATTCATGCAGGCCACAGGCTTGGAATCTATAGGAAATACAATTTTTGTTGCATTACCAAGACGAGGTTCAAATTACCATAGACAAAATAATAAGCCATATGCCATATGGTGAATAAAAATAAATATATAAATAGCAAATATATAAATATATAAATAGCAAAATAAAGCGAATTAACATAATATACATTGCAAATCCAAATAAAATTGAAATTTATTATAATATTAATAAGGAAAAAAATTCCTTCTCAAAAATCATCCGCGGTTCATTACACGTGTCAGTTTGTACATCTTACAAGGTTGTGTTTGTAATTTAGTTACAGTAACCAGTACTGCATGTCAGTTAGGGATAATAGATTAGGGAGCATCTCAAATTAAAGGGAATATACATCATTTGCTTTTGCTGTAATTTTCAGAAGTGGATGGAATTGGGGGGTTGGAAATATATAGCAAATATAGTTACACTGACTTTTTTGAGGTTTTGGGTTTGAAAATGCTATAAAAACCAAGAAAAACAATCATTTTCCTGTAGTCTGGTTCCCTGACTCCATATAAGAAGAAACAGAGCAGTTTACATACATTGGGGAATTGTAAGGTCAGGGAACCAGTCTAGCTGGCTTGTACCCGTTCATAGTTGTGGAATCGATTGCAAACAAGTGCGATGGTCAATTGGGGCCAGTATTTGAAAAAAAGCCAGTTTTTTCCAACGCTGGTCGGCCAACCAGCGTTGGAAATTGATACAAAAATACCACTTTTCTTGAAAATGACATTATACCAGGTGCCATGATTTTACAGGATGCTTTACACTGTCATTCACTAACAGTCCAGCAAGGTATTTCAAAATGATTTGGTAGTTTTATTTTTTGATGTTTGCAAATGTTGTATTTTCCCTTTAAGGGTTACTTCATTTCTGGCTTTGATGTTGGTTGGTGATTCATCCTTTGATGAAGTGCCCGATATGTGTGTACATATGTATCCAATTCATCATAAGTCTGTCCAGGACATTTCTTTTGTCATGTTGTGACATAAAGTTGGGCTCATCAGATTTGTGAAGCTTTACCCCTTGTTAACTACATCTGACATATAACAGTCTTGTGTTGCAACAAACATGTAGTGTTTTCCCCCAAGAGTTTTTAATTAACGCCTTTTTGACATGGGTTGCACTTGCAGACATCCACAATAGAATTTAGAAGAACAAAAGGACTGTTATTGTTAAATTCAAACATGGAAGTTCCTTCTGCCATGATTCAAACAAACAAGTTCAACATTGTTTTGTTTTATAGGAGAAATAAACTGTTGATGAGCACAGTACATTTTATTGGCCAGGCATGTACCACAATCTTTAGTTTTAAAATGTGTGTACAATGTGAAAGTAACCACTGATAGAGGAGCCAGGCTGCAGGGTTCATTTGGGCTGACATTGGACCCCAACTTGAACCCTTGGCTAGCTGAATGAGTAAAGTGCTCCGCAATCTCTGGCACCAAGCCAAGAAAGTTGACTTTCAGCACCGTGTTCCGTTCTTATGTCACTTGTCCTCGAGGGTCGCACTAGCTGAATTATGAGGACAGGTTGTTGAAAGAAAAAGCACAGACTATGGCCTCATTAGCAGTGGACTAGGTACATGTGTAGTCTTGGTTACAGACCAGAAATTAGATTTAGTTCCCATGATGGAGCAGTAGCGGATCTATAGGGGAGGAGGGGGGGGGGCGGTTAGAGGGTCGCACCCCTACCCCACCCCACCCCCCCCCTCCATTCAGCTGCCGACTTTATACTAGTAAAATGGGGCAAAAATACTAAAACATGTAGCATGCTAAAATTCATAAATTTATTCTCAAATTGCCTAAGATAGTAAGAATGCAGGAGAAAGCATCAAAGATTTCAAAACTTTTCCTATGGCAAGCCTGCCCCCCCCCTTGGACCCCTCAGCAGGGCGTGCATTTAGCAAGCCTTCACCTACCCACCCCCCCCCCCCCCCTTTCCTGAAAGCTACTGGTAGATCCGCCCCTGTTGATCTGGACGTGATCCTTGACATGCAAGACTAAGCCCGCTGTCTTGTTTGAGAAGTTTACCTCATTTTTGTAACTGGACCATCATTGCTGTTAACATGCTCAGCTGCTTAGCTTGTAATTGCAAATTTATGAACTTGGCAAACAAATTTCAGTGTGTTAAAAGTGATAATAATGTCCACTGATATCTTGTGTCATTGTCCAACCTCTGGGGCCCCTGCCACATATCTGCTTACATACATGTAGCATGTGAATTGCAAATTTATGAACTTGGCAAAAAGGACCAGCCACGTGCCTGGATTGTGTACTCTGATGACAGCTGACTTAATTTGCAGAGGTCAGAGAGGAAAGATTAATTTACATTGTTACACATCGCCCCTTCCTGAATTTGTTAAGAAGACAACACAGCCACAAGCACTGCCAGATAGCCCATTACTCATGACCAAGCTAAGTGGTCTCGTCAGGAGTTTCATTTGGGGTTGGGGATTTAAAATTACGACATACATGTAGACAAAGTCAGGGCGAGAAACTTGTCAGGGCTCCGGAAGTTTAAATAATCATTCTTTTCAATGTGGCTCAATGTTTTCTGGACGTTTTTTTCCATCAAGGAAGGTCTTCTAATGTTTCCTGTTACTCACTGTTAGCACGGGGACGTATCAAACTTTTTCTTTCTCCTTTTTTTTTCGTTTTCCAGGGGGGGCTTGCCCCCCCCCCCCCCCACGACGCCCATGAGCATTACTGCTTGTAGCATGGAGGAACGCTTGAAGCAAGCAACCATCCAAACTCTTCGAAAATATTTGATTGACCAGAAACCCTATGGCACTTTCTTCACACTTGTAGGCCCTAATCCTGCAAGCTTTTGAGAGACTTTAATCCCAATTTTAAGTAACAGTCACTTGGCTCTACATTGCTTAATCCTGAAAATCCTCCAAAACTTAACCGGATTTAAGGATCTAGGGGATTATCATGTAATACAATGGGACGTGGCATTTAAGCCTTGCTTGTCAGAAAAAGAATTATGTAATGGAATATATTGTGTTGGGGAGATGCAAATTCAATGTGGGGGTTTTCCCTTCACTGAAAAGACTTGTTCAAGAAACAAATCCCAACATTTTATTTGCTATGCTTACGGTAGACCCTATGAACCCCCTCCCACCTTTCCCTCCTGCATGGCGCGTTAAGAGTGAACGTTCTTTATGGCTAGGATACAGGGGTGCTTCAAGTCTTGGTGTGTCAAACAAGTTATGTACATGTAGTGTGTCACATTTCCTACGTGAAAGGTGGGTCAAAAATGTAGCCAAATAGCGGCAAAATTTAAAAATTGGTGTGTCGCTACTCTGACGCAGAGGGTGTGTAGATTCCACAAAATGACGACCCACTCTTGGACAATGATATGTAGGGAAGAATGCAAAACCATACATGGGGAGTCAGGTTGGCGTAGCAGTACTTTCCTCACCTTTCACTGCTGTGGCCCGGGTTCGATTCCTGCCCTAGCTGGTCCAATATGTGGATTGGGTTTTCAGTCCCTGCCTGATTCCGTGGTTTTTCCCCAGAATATTCTTGTGGGATTTTCCTCCCACCTCTAAAACTGTACTTTCTTCTCATTGTCTTTTCCCCACAGGTTTCTTCAGGCTTGCAAGCTACAGTGCCTAGGGCGCTTTTGAGGAATCCCTGGTTTCATTACCACAAATAAATGATAATAATGATAATTCCCGGAGGGGTCATTGGGTGCATCATACAATTGATGGGTACAACATTTCCAAACTTTACTAAATTCTTCTCTTGTTACGGTTTATTTCGGCAGAGTTTTGAGTATGAGAAGGCAGTAGCTGCAGCTTACACCTATGTACAGTGGCATCAAGACGATGATGTTATGCAGAACAACTTGGAGTATTATCGCAACTTGCACGGTATCACGGAGGAACATCTGATCGACTTGGAGGAGAAACCACATCATGTAAGTTGTGCATCACAAAGTTGTCGTTCTATAAATTTAGGGTCCAAAGTCTGACATTTTTCCTTGGTACCTTAGTACTTTGTTGTTTGCCATTCAAGTATCATTAAGAATGACTTCATTCAAATTGATTTTTTTTCAAGGGGTCATCAAAATTAGAGCAGTTTCTCAACCCCAGGATTCAGAGAGTTCAAGAAATGTTCTCCTGTGTCCCTTTGAACTTTTCTGATCCTCAGCACATTGTAACTTTTTCGTCTGTGACTACTGTCCTGTTCACTGACCCCTTAGCCCACCTGCCTAGCCCCCCTGGCATTTTAACAGCTACCTGCCCAACCCCCTGGTATGGTGACAGCCAAATCTGACCTTCACACCAGCAGGAAACCAGTCCTAGACCACATGATTCCAATGATAGTTGATTGGGTTTTACGTAAAGTCCCAATTTCCGTTAATTCTGATCATTATTTTCCAGTCAATAAAAGGCTGTTGTACATTGTAGCTAGGCCTGATGTAATTATTTCTTCGACCCTAATTCCTTGGAATGTTTGCCTCGAATTTTCTAAACCTGCCGTACTGTGCCAGCCACATGTATAAAGTAATGATAGATGTGATTATAAGTTCTGAACCTTCAAAATATTTCAAAACCCTGTTTTGGAATTTGCTGGATTTAGACGAGTTAAGATTGAACCCAGAATTTCTTCCAGCATAACTTCGAACTCCTGGAAGTTTTTGGAATTTGCCTATTATTATTATCCTATGGATCAAGAAACCTCAGTAGCACTTTTGGATTTTGATAGATCTTGGCGGGTTAGGGTGAAATTATTCCAATTTATTTTTTTGGATGAGAGTCGCCCATAAGGCCCTTAACCCTAACCCCTTGAGCACTTTTACTGGAAAGTATCCTGAATCCGCCTAAATCCACCAATTTTGTCATGCAAAAAAAATGTTGGTGTCCTGTGTCCATCAGAATCCACCTGTGTAGTACATACCTCATACACGCCACACATATAGCCAACTGTTGATATCCTGAATCCATCAAAGTCCCCCAACTTTGACAATATGGAGGTATCCTGAATCCACCGAAATCCTCCAAAACAGGGGTGTGGATTTTGATGGATTCAGGTACGATAGGGTTAAGGGCTACTCAAGATGAGGGGGCTACACAAAGAAGGATAGAAAAGGAAATCCAAAAAAAAAATAGGGAAAAAATAGGGCCTACTTCAAGCAGTAATATAAGTATTGATAAAAAAAGGAAATCTAAAAAAAAAAAAAAAAAAAAAAAAACTTCTAGTAGAAAGATAAGTATTGGCATTTACACTTGAACTGAAACAGATCAAAATTAACTGGAAAACAAGACACAGGTATGGAGTTCATCGGTGAGGCAGTCTGTGGGAAGAAAGTGGATGAGTACTTCTTTTTGTTTCATTTTCTTCCATCCCTGCAGAAATATTTCATGGAGGGGTACAAAGCCTACGAGAAGGGAGATTTTGCCGGCGTCATCGAGAACATGAAGAAGGCATTGGAGTATTACTGGAAAGTGGACGAGGAATGCCGCGCACTGTGCGAAGGACGATACGAGAACAGGGAATTCATGGACCTGTACGAAGCTATGTCCAGTAAGTAATAATAACTAACATCAATCGCAAACTGGTGGTACACAGTTGCGCTAAACCAAGAAGTATTAAGAACAATTTGAGTCGTTTCAACTAGATTTGGTTTCAGGCAAGCAAATGTTTTTATAAATTAATATTCCATTGACTAATCCCTGGACTCAATTGGTCCAAACAACCTCAGCAGAAGATCTTTTGAATGTGATTGTTCCTTTTAAGCATCAAAGTTGTTTAAATCATCAAAGTTAATTGACCTGTTTCGGTAGAATCGCGTCAATGCAGCTTGTGAAATATTGTCCAATTACATACAAATGGACGCGGAACACGCAAAATCCGAGACAAACAAAACTTAGTGTACAAAAAATCCATAGGGTTGTCTAAGGGGCGATAAGGGCGATAGGTCAATTCAGATCTTAGAAGTTTGTTTCGGTGTGATGCTAGAACTCATGTCTGAAATGGATGAGAGACGTGTCCTCATCATTTACATGTAAATGGGGAACAGTAGGGTTTAATTCCCAATCAAACCTCCAACAAAAGAACTTGGGCAAACTTTTCAAAGTTTTCTGCAAGCCGGTCTTTTCACATGCCTCTCGTCAGTACATACTTGTCGTAACATACTCGTCATTACATACTCATAACATTTCAGACGTTGAAAATAGGACAGCAGCATCGGACCATTATTTCTAGAAACATGCCTCGGAATTCTGCCCAGCCAACATACGTGAACGTGAATACATTCTGAAGAGTTCATTCCTGACAGTTGACAATTTTCCCTACTGGACACATTCTGTGTAAACAAGCAGTTGCGTCCTGAAAACAAAATAAGGGAGAAATACACTCACGTACGCGGTCCTCATTCATGTGAATTTGCCAATTACTGGGAATGAAAAACAAACGTCGGTCCAGCGTACAGTTCTTTTCCGATCCTTATTGTAGTAGCATCGTAAATTTATACTTGGGATAATTTTGTCAGAACTCTGGAAACCGCAAATTCCAGACCTGATTTCTAATTTTATGTGAAATTTAGTCACATGATTTTGCCAATTACATGGAACATAAACAGACCTTGGTCGAGCATAGAGTTCTTATTATTGTACCATCGAGTATATGTGGGATAATTTCATCTGAGCCAGAAACCGCAAATTCCATACCTGATTTCTACATATGTCGGAAGTTGGAGTTTATATTTTTCACCCTAAGCTATATAATGAGGGTCTTGGCTGTAGATTTTTTCCCTAAACCTGCACCTGAGCAGAGCCCAAGCAATACAGCATTCTTATACTGCACAACCAACATATGGGATGTCTTCTCTGTCTAGCCAGTGATTACATAATACCCGTGCCCATTACCTTGTGAAAATAAACACCCCTGTGTTCCAGTGTAACTTGAAGAAATTCCAAGCCAACTTCTTGATTCTGCTTTGCAAAAAGAAGTTGTCACTTGGCCGAAATTTTAGTCACTTTTTAAGGGTATTTGACTGCAAAGATGTACTAAATCTTGCGCTCGCATGTAGTCTTTTGATTAATAAGGGACGCCCTTAATTTTGTTTTTCACTAGCTACATGTAGCCGGACTAGTGAACCAGACCATATCATGTCCAAGGGCCTTTCCACTAGTCGCAATAGAATTTTTTTTAATTTTGCACCAGAATGTCATAAACAACACTGTTATTTACAATAATTTTGACTTGCCAGACAGACTACTTAGGGAATGATTTTGACTAGTCCGCCGCTGTTTTGATTCGCATTTGGCTAGCGGACTACCGGTAAGGTCAAACCCTGGATTAACTCTCCTGTAGACCATTCAAAACACCTCAAAATCTGGGTGCTGGCAAATTGGAGGAAAAAAAATGCTGGACCTTTTAAAATCCTCCAGAATTTATTGTTACTGCACTACCACACCTTTCAATTCCTTTCGAAAGGTATTGAAAGGCAACTTACTGAATTTGCCCACAGAGTTGCTTCACCTTCCGAAACCTTTCGAAAAGTCCCAAAGTTGCAGCACTATTTCACCTTTCAAAACCCTTTTTGTCAGGCAAATTTAAAATGTTTTGAAAGGTCTGATAATTCTCCTTGCCAACTGCACTGAGCATAGCAGGGTTAATTGAATTATTGCAAGTGAAGTTTTTCTCAAAAATCTCAGCAATTTCTGTTTGATGTGATTAATGTTACCGTAATGATACCCATGAAATGGATGACCTTTTTGGCGGGAAAATATTGTGCTCAGTATAGTGCCATGGTATTAGGACCATATGTGCATTTGGGTATAAGGCCAAAAAAAAATACTTCTAGTTCCGATTACGTTGCATTTGAAAATACGGTAGGAAGGGATTTTTTTTTTTTTTTTTTTTTTCCGCCATTTTTGTGTGTGTACGATTATATGGAGGTGTCTGCGTGTAAGTCAAGGGTAAAAGGTAGAAATTAATGGTTTTGGGTGTTTTTTCTCATTTTTCCCCATAAAAAAAATTAGGGTACCTGTAGGGGCTGTCTCAATACATGTAGGGTAGGTAGGGAAACCGGAAGCAGAACTATTAATTTTTTGGCCTAATCAAGGTGTAAAATGTACACAATGTACACACAAATGTATGTAACTTTCCCCAGAAGACTGGACCTTCTACAGCTTGTCAAGTCACTTGTCTTGATAAAATTACAGTCTAATCTGCAATATATCAGTGGAACGGGACACCATGTAATCGCTAATAGTTATGTTATAACCAGTCTGGTGGACTTCAGGATTGTTTATCTTAGAGTTAGGCAAGTATTTGGTGAACATTAGTGGGGATGTGGTTTGAACCCTGGAGCGTTTGGTGGCCTAGATTTGCTGGTTTTGTGAACCAGATTTCTGTGACTGCATTTCTGCTTTTACTTTAACAAATTCTGCCCGTGAAGGTGTATCACATATCGGCATGCAAGCCAGGAAGTACATGTGTACATGTAACTTGTCCATGTGTACTGTTGGAAGTGTTTATCGGGTTATTTCTTCGCACTGATCATTTCCGTTATGTTCTCTTGATGATACCTGTACCTCAACTTGAAATCGTTTTCTAAAGTGGAAATACTAGAGGTTGTTATTTTATATTCTTTCATTTCAAAATGTTCGTGAACAGTTTGATATGGGAAAAGCCTCCCCAATACCACTTTTTGTAAATTTATGATGAATTTATCCCTCCCCAAACTTATGGATCCCTCATTATAGAGACACATTCTGTTCAACCCCTCTCCTCCCCCCCCCCCCCCCCCCCGCTCCATCCCCTCCCCCTCCCCCCCTTCCCTTCACCCCACCACTCACCCACCCCACCCATTTTTCAGAAATGTGTAACGCATGTTCAAGTTTTACGACCCAAATTATTGTTATGATGTGAAACTTGTCCACTTTACTTTTACTGCGAGGCACAAAAGGTTAGGACATTTACCTGTCTCTTGTGAACAGTATCAGAACCCCCCTCCCCCCATCCAATTTTTAGAAGTGTGTACTGTTGCTGACAGAGTAATGTTTATACAATTTTACATTTTGTACTTGTCAATATACAAGCCAATTTATTGTTCTGATGTGAAACTAATGTCCACTTCACTTTTTGCTACGAGTTACAAAAATAATGTTACCACATTTGCCTGTCTCTAATGTCAGTATCAGACATCTCCCCCCCCCCCCCCCATGAATTTTTCAGAAGTGTGTTGCTGGCACTGAGTAAAACAAGCTAATTTATTGTTACGATGCGAAAGTTGTCCGCTTTGCTTTTACTACGAGTTACAAAAGGTTAAGACATTTAGCCTGTCTCTAGTGAGCCGTGCAGACAGGAAGGCAGGCAGTTCAGAAGCCAGACGCTGATTTCCATGTTCAGTCTGGAGTCTGGTCCAGATTGTCTTTTATCTCGCTCAGAAACTTTGTGGAGCATTAGATGTGTTTAACAGATTCCTCTGGGCAGCCAGTTGAAAAAAAAAATATTAAAAATATTGTTTAAGTATTGATATTCGCCTTAACAATTGTTTAATTTTTGAAGACGGACTTCTCTTGGCCAGATTATGTCCACTACAAGTTAATGGTGTAACAGAGGTTAAAATAGAGATTGTCCATTAATTAATATTTGTTGAACTGATGGACATTTACAACTAATTCAAAATAGCCACCTGTAGAGACTACATGGTGTGAAACTTTTACAGTATAGACGTACATGTACATGACGTTTGGATCACTAATTTTATTCTTAAAGTGGAGATTAATATCTCAAGATTGGTTTGTTAACATCAACGTGACCCAATATCCATCTTATGAATAGTTCTTCTGCGTTGCTTCTCAGATCACTATGCTTCAGTTCTCTACTGCAAGAGCCAGTGTGAAGAGTGGAACTCACGAATGAAGGGGAGCATGGTCGACAACTATCTACCAAACCACTACCACTATCTGCAATATGCGTACCATAAAGGTGAGTACAACAGGGCCTCAGTTTATGGCTCAGCTTACCGTTAGTGAAAAATGCTTGCTCACTGTAGCAGAACATTCTGTGCTTACGGTAAGTGCATTTCACTGCTTAGCAAGGAAGTTTGGTTTGTGCACATGCGTACATCCCGTAACTAGGGATTCTGTGCTTACAGGGTTAGCACAGAATATTTCTGGTCCTAAGTACGGAATTCCGGGGTTAGCAGAGTCGTGAAATTGGGCCCAGATCCTATGGTCTAGTTTGTTAGGGATAATTGCAGTGTAATGTCTGTTGCAGCTCGCCGCTTAAGAGCTCAGAGAATAAACCCGAAAATGTATTTTTCAAATCTTATACATCCATCATCTAGTAATTCCTTTTTCGTGGCGTTCTCTCTAAAAAGCCTGAAAGCCACTAAGAGTCGGAAGCTAAAGAAAACAGGAAAACAGGAAACAACGAGACAAAATATCAGCTCGAACATCATAGCAGATTAGTTTTGTCTTAAGGCTGGTTTATACTTCATGCCAATGTCGGTGTGAAGCAAATTCGTTAGGGGAACGGCGAACGTCACAATAAAAATTTGATTGTTGATGTCATGAAACTCCCTTCACTTTCGCTTTCATGTGAAGTATGAACCAGTCAAAATGAATCAAATTAGGTTTGCCCTTCACCGACGTATAAACACTGTTAACTCGGTGTGTTACCTCCCGAGTGAAAGTTGGTGCCAAAATGAAGACAGTAATGAACTGAATTTTCTTCTCAGGGATGTAAGTCCTCTGCAATCACCTGATTTCAGGGTTTTTGTCCAAAATATATATAACACTGTACTTCAGATTTCAGGCAAAAATGCCACAGACCTCCTACATCCCTGTTTTCTCTCAGAGTTCAACATGCTCGAGGGTCTAACTGGATTGTATTTCACATGATCTTGATATTCCTTTGTGAATTTTAAAAACAGAGGGTAAGATGATGGACGCTGTCAATGCTGCGGCCTCGTTCCTTGTCCTAGTCCCCAATGACCCCACGATGACCTCCAACATGCGTTACTATGAAGACGAGGAGGGTACCAACAAGTACACGGTCAAGCCCGCGGAGGAGGCTGTGGCCTATCAGAAGTGTAAAGACTTGGAGATGAAGCTGCTTCAGTTTGCCAAGCAACGGTTCTGGGGGCAGGAGGACCTGGAGGTAAATGAGAAGGAGGGCGGGGGAGACGGGGGAGGGAAGAATCAAACCACTGGGGGTTTGAATCCTGTCGGTGCGGGTGACTCGATAAATGAGGCTCAGGAAGCATTGGGCAATGTAGAGGTAGAAACGGAGGGGAAAACTGGTAATGATGAGCTGTAATCATTCAAATGCGGGGATTGTTGTGACTAGTAAGGTTTACTCATGCTGCTTTTAGTTTTATATGCAGTTACCTTCATGACAGGGTTATTTGTACTATTTTACCAAAATGAATGTTTTGTATCAACTTATTTTAGTCAATGACGATTGAAGCAAGTTTTCCATTTTGGAGCGACCTTCAACAAGTAACAAGTACTATGCAATTCCTCACACAGAGTTTCTAGTTTTGATAACAGTAAAGATATGTTTGTGCCAACAATCTTGCCAAGTTAATGGCATTATGTTATTCATTTTTTATGGGATTTTTTTGTAGGAATTGTTAGCTTTTATAACAGTGGGTCCTTTTTCCAATTCTTGTTAGTAGAAACAGGATCATGTTTGCTGCCCCCTAGTGTCTGAAAATGAACAGTTTATTTCCAAAACACGATATCTCCATTTGAAAAAAGTGAAAAACTTGCACTTTTATGAAACTGCAAACAAGAATAAAACACTACAACAGCTGTTTTAACAACATTTTTCCTTTTATCCTATTTTTAAATTGGGTTTGACTTTAAGGGTGGTCAAAAAAATAAAAACGAACCTCATACTTCCACTACCTAGAGACTCCAACCACATATACCAATGCATGGAGAATCTATTTAGAAGAAAAATGAAACCAAGATCACCCGATTCGGTCTAGTAGTTTTTGTTCTAGAGCCTATTTTGTGAAGCAAGGTGGGGGTCATTTTTGTCCCGATGAATTACTAAACTGCGCCCGGGAATTTGACTTGCATTGTAATTGATAGAGGGATTGTTATCTAATAATACCCACAATAGAAGAAGTATCCTTCACAAAATAGGCTCTGCAGCAAAAACTACCAGACGGAATCGTGATATTTTGGTATCATATTTCTTCTGAAACTGACTGAAAGCAGCCATGAGAGAGTGGGATTCTAAAGGGGAAATAAAATGGCGTTTAGCGCGTTCTGGAAACTCTCTAACTTTTTCTGTTAGTTTTGCTCTGTAGATACATGTACATGTAGCTTTAGTTAGAATGTTGTGATTGTGAATGTAATAGTTAGAATATACAAGTTTACATAGTTGCTTAAAACAAAAACAGATTGAAGTTGCTTTTGAACCTGAATTTTAATTCTCAAAACAGACTTCTTTCTGTAAAAAAAATGCTGAATGTAATCTCAATTTAGTTTGCCGTTTGATCTTTTCATAATTTATGTATTCTTGAACACCTCAGTATTCCTGATTGTCCTCTATGTATGTAAAGGTTCAACGAAACATGCAAAAGCTGGAATTTATCATATGAATGAAAGTTCACTGTATTTTTGTAAGAAATACTTCATAGTTTTTATTATAGTTATTAAAGAACAGCATTATTTCTTATCATTGCCAAATAAAACTAAACCAGTATAGTTTCATATGAAAAAAGTGTTTTTCCTTCGCATTGTTGTTTATCAAAACCACTTCCTGCGTTTTAGATGTGCCTTTGAGATTATTGTGTGTGACAGAACAAAAGTGTGTCATGGTAGCAGGAAATAAACTAGAAAAAGAGGTCAGAAATTCTTGCCGGCAATATTTCAGTCACAGATTTTAAACTCTTTGCAGGTTTTTGACAGTTAGTCAAATTAGTCAAAATCACAACAGATTCATACCTCGGCTTGTTTACAGAAAGAAAAAATTGTGGCAATAAAAAGTTTGTCAAAGTGTTCATCGGGAAATGCCACTTTAAAATTCATTTTAAAACTTTAAGCCGTTAAACTTCAAAATTTGCAGTAAAATGTTATGATTCCTGTCAGCTCTGTTTATCTAGAGTCATGCTAAGCTGGTCATATGCAAATTATGAAAGGTCATCGATTCACCTTTGACCTTTCATCTTTGACCTTTGCTACTTGAGACTGGTCTTGTGAAATGGAGGAGTCTTGCGTTTGGGTGTAAGTGTTTTTCTCTTTTTTTCCTGAACATGAATTTTAAAAACAAAAAATATCCATTTTCCGATTTGGGATTTTTTGAAGAAAATCTCTGGCATTTGTTGGATAGAAAAAAAAAATTACAAAATGTGAAGGCTTGCTTTCTAGTCGAGTGATAATTTTAAAAAGATTTTCGGTGATGTCATGCATTCGATCAGCTGTAATTTGATTGGCTGCCGAAGTGCAGAAAACAACCAATCAGAGTCCAATTCAAAATTTTGTGAATGAAAGTTTGATATTTATGAAATGTAAAAATGTTTCAAAACAAAAAGGAACATCACTTACAATCGAACGGAGGCTCTTTCATTTTGCAATTTTCTTTTATCAGCTTCAAATGCAGGGAACCATTTATTGTTTTTAAAATCTGTTTAGTTTTCTATAATTAAATTACAAAAAGGTAAAAAGTGTATGGTTCAAAGATCTGCCTTAACCTGCCTCTACAAAAATTCTACCATAGATTTCTTCTACTATTTGCAACAGTTTCAATAGGACTATTGCACAGATTTCCATTTTTGTTTTTAAAAATGCTAATTGATTATGGATGATTGATTATTTTGATTATCTTATACCTGTATTTTCATGATTTGTTGCTTTGAGATTTACTAGAAAAATGGGGTAGTTTTAGTCAAATGAAGAAAATGAGATGTTCTTTGAAAGCACCAGTGTGGAGCTGTGTGAAAGACGTCAATTTATTTAAGCAAGCATTTGTTTTTACTTTTCACAGTATTTGGAGGAGCATTACCAAGGAACAATCAAGACGCTCCTGTATCAGGACCAGGCCGAACCCATCAACCCAGATGAGGTCCTCCTGGGCTACGAGATCCTAGAAGCCCTCCAATCAGGACAGAGCTTTGCCGATCGCCATGGAGATGACCCATCAGAGGTCACGACCCAGCCGGAGGAAATCTGGGCTGAGTATTTCGATGATGAGGAGGAGGAGGGAGTCGATTCGGATGTGGAGCATTTTCGGAGGGTTATTTTGAGAAACCGGAAGAGATTTGGCCTGAGGATGAGTATTTGATGATGGACGAGGATGATGATGATGAAGGACCTGTAAGGGAGTATTCTCCTGAGCCGATTCTTTATGATGCGGAGGAAACAAATAGACGAGGATGACAAACAGGAAGGAGGAACAACTGGAGAAAACTTGAGAGATCTTAAAGAGACGACAGCGTTTGATACCAAGGAGCAACCACATATGAACAGGGTTGAGAGTCTGGAAGAGCTGGAAAACAAACCTTCAAGATCTGAAGCGAAAAAGGACGATTTAATTGACCCAAATTTGGGTTATCGCATGGACAATAATGGGATCAAGTGGCCAAAATTGATGGGAAATTGGATTCTGGTACGGAAACACAAAAGAAACGGGATACTCAAGAAGTTTCAGAGAAAAACGGCAGAGATGAGCTTGAGGACAGGCAAGACGGAGGGTAAACTACAGGATGAGACGGAGGGAGTATCGGCACTAGATGGTCTGAAGAAGACTCTGATACAAGAAAACTTGTTTCCTAGTGGTCCCGCAGGGCCGGGCATCCATAGAAGGACGTCGCTACGGAGGCGATCTTGACGTGAAATCAGAGGTGGAGGAGCCGAGTTATGTGCCGTCACTAGATGGTGTTAAGCTGTTCATGAATGGAGCGATGCTGAACGGAAGCGAGCGTATGGCTGCCGACAACATGGCCACACAGATGGAATGTGATAATTTGATAAAGCTGATGGATGTAAGTGTTGCGGAAAACCCAATGTTTCTCTTTGACTTAAAAAACTGCTATGCTGTAGACCATTCCGCGCACGCTATCGCTGATTATCAAGGAGGCCCCTTTCAATGGCGGATGCATTGTGCTTGCTATTGTAGAAAGCAACCCCTATGATGTATTATCTAATAGCTAGACAACCCCTCCATGAATACACAGTGTTAGCTTGCTCAGGTTGGTCTGTAGTGGAAATCTGGTATATTTAACCCTAAACACCAAGGTACACTCAACCAAAAGAAAGTCCCTCCTTTTTATACTTTTTTTGTCTAACTCAAAATCTACTGGGCACATCTTGCTGAAATTACGACTGATCAGTACAGAAATTCCTTAGCAATCCAGCTATACTCTTTGTTGGCCCAAAACAGTGATAATATGTACAAAATTATGCAATTTATGACAAATGCTACCGAAAAAGGGGGGACTTTCTTTTTTGGTTGAGTAAATTATTACAAGGAACTTTCCTGAAGCCTCAAAAACCACCTCTATGCAGGCACTGCTTTATGACTTAGATAGCTGTACCCCTTTGATAGACCCAGCACCGTTGCCAGTTCCGGACAGGGGGGGGGGGGGGCACAGTACCAGCTGGGGGGGCACACCACACCACAAGGAAAACACAATTGTGGATAGTTTTTGACACTTATGGTTTTGCCAATGGGAGCCAGTTGCTCGCCGGGGGCTCTGCCCCCCCTCCCCCTTCCCTTAGCG